GAAATGGTTAGAGAATAAAGCCCTGCCACTGTTTTTGAGATGAAGTTGTACTTACTGTACTCGTGCCAAAGTGATGGCATCATCAGCGAGCCATTTTTCTATGGTCTCATCAAAAATACTCATTTGTCGTCCAGCAGCGGGCATGATCTTCGGGTATACTTTCAGGATATTGACATCAATCAACCCCTCCCAGTTGTGCTTTTGGGACCACGTGATAAGTTCCTTTTTGTACATGTACACAGTTAAGGGAGCACTCAGTAGTTTCGTGTAATTTGTGTAACAAAGAAAAAGCAAAAGCGCTGTTATTAATGGGTCTTGAAAAAAGTGAATTCGTGGGTGGCGTCGAGCTATAAAATGAGGATTTTTCTTTTTAACTTCCAGCCATCCACTTGACATTTTAAAATGGACTCCACTTCACACGAACAAAAGCAGCAGCAATCCTCTCAACACTCTGACCATTCTCCTTCTCCATCACCACGATCTGTTGTTGCATCACTCCGATAATCCGATAAAATCACTACCAAATTTATCTGATCAGAGTGTATCGCGTGGTGAAAAGTCATCTGAAAGAAAGTTTGATCAAAATGGGGTTTTCTGACTTTTTTTTTTTTTTTTATTTTTTTTTTTATATATTTTGAACCTCTGACAAACAGCTCATATGTGACATACATAAAGACTTCATTAACCAAGATAAAAGTCTACATTTTTGTTATTGAGGTCAATGAGAGTAACCACTGAGGTTTTTGAGCAGTACTTCCTAAGGGAAAACGGCAAGGAAAAGGATTGAAGACAGTGCTTCTCTTCATAACCATTTCAAACTTTCTTTCAGGTGGGTGTACAATAAATATAATGGATATTTAATAACTTGCTTCATTTACTTATGACCATTTGCATGAGCCGCCGTCGTTTCTCTACTCTTTGCTTTAATATTTCTCTGTGCTCGAAACCAACTTGCCCTGATGATCTTGAATGAGCTCAACTATGAAGTTGAATTGCCGAGGCGTCACTCTCATAGCACTCACAAAGTCCTTTTCGTGGAGCCCCGAAAGCGTTTCATCACGATAGACTGGCGACCGAAAGGGGGGGGGGATGTCGTCGTCTGTCGGGACATTTGGATCGACCCCCAGCATTTCTTTGGTGCACTCCTCTCTCCAGGAGTCAGCTCTCTCCGGCATATCTTTATCAAAATTTTCCTCAATCCAAGGAAAGACCAGACGCTGGAGCTCTAAGGGCGGGGTGACCAAATCACGCTCGATAAAGTAAGGCTCATTCGGTCCAAACTGAGCCATACAAAAAGCGCCCCTGGTTGGGTTTTTTGGAGCATAGAAGTTCTCCATTTGCCCCATGACCCACCTTCCCAAGTGGCGAATATCATCCAGGCTTAAGCCTCTTTCATAGGCTTCCGAGACTCCCCGCATGCCAGAGTGTGTGATGTTTGGCCGAGTGTACGTCGCAGGTACGCATTACAGCCGCCGTGCTGCTCATTTGAGTTCGGCCAGCAAGCGCTTCATTTCGGTTCTCTGACCGTTCTTGGCTTGTGCCGCCTCCTGTTAGCGCCTTGATGCTGTACCACTCGTCAGGGTCCGCGAAATTGGGGAGAGGCTCTTCGAACACCTATAATAGAAAAAAAAAGAAAAAAAGAAAAGAAAAAAAGAAAAGAAAAGAAAAGAAAAGAAAAGGAAGGATACATATCACTTGCGTAATTGAATAAGAAAAAAATCATACGTTCGCGCCAAGACTAATGGCATCACTTACCTGGAGCCGTTCTAATAAACCCGCCTACGGTGCATCTTAAGAATAGCTTATGTCGATAAGCTGTCGCGTAGAGCTCGGCGCCTTTATGGTTTGTCTTTCCACGTGTAATGCAGAAGACAAGTCCCGACGCCAGCTTTGGCCCTGGCGCCCTCCATTAGGCGCTCTTCATCGTTTATTTATATTAGTCTATTTAAGGTGTTTACTCGACCAGTTAAGGGTGTCGGGTGACGGGTCTGAATATTGAATGTGTTTGCCAGGTTCAAGTTCCGGATGTCCTCATCTCGCAGCAGCAAATGATGGTACGCAAGGAGGCCTCATATACTGAAATCGCGCAACACTGTCATATGGTCGCCTGCCGCTTACTCCGATCGTCGGAAGCATGCGCCATGTAAAGGCCGCTGGATTCAAGAGATCTTGCAATAAATGTATCAATACTTTCATTTGCTACTTTAGCGTCATGAGCTCTGAGCTCATGGCAAACAACTGCGCCCTTTATCGCGCCTCTTGTCGAGTAATAGCTGCTTCAAGAGATGCATTTTGGTGGCTGAGGCTGTTTAGGGCATCGGAGACAACATGTGTGTCAATTGGGGACCAGCTATTATAGGAGTGATCTGCAACCCAACATTTTAACAAGTTAGGAAAAGTAAATATTCTTATTCATATTTCAATTACTCAATCACTATCTTAATGGTCTTAACCACTTGTTAGCTACCCTCAAGCGAGCTTCTTTCCTTCCATCATTTTCCTTTAAGGATGAGGAATGAAGAAATGAGAAATGGAGGAATGAAGAATTGAGCATGAAGCAATGTGTTGATTTGATCAGATTGCTTTGTGAGCGGCGTGCTACGCACGCGCTGTTTTTTTTTTTTTTTTTTTTTTTGGGTGAAAAGGGCATGTGCCTGAATTTTAGTCTGTGTCTGCACGTGAAACCTATGAAACATTTGCCCATTAATGGGCATGCATCGGAATTTGATTAAGTAAACTATTACAGTATCGAGGAAGTGAGACGGTATGCAAAAGTCTCCAGCCATGTTTTCAATAGGCCCTTGGATTGATTTAGCTAGCTAACATGGGGAGGGGGGGGGGGGGGGTTCAGAAAGGATCTATGTTTCTACAACTCAAGCACCCAACAGTATTTATAACTTCTTTGAGAGGTCGGTATGACTTCTGTAGTTGGTTCACCAGGGCCAGTATAAAGGGACTGTTAATGGATATGGATGTGAAAGTGTTAGGCTTGATAATGTCTAACTGAATAGCCTATATAGTATTGTCCAAGATCAATTGGCGAATACCTTCCATCTGTCTGATATTTCCCATGGTGGCGGCCTTAGCTGTTGACACTGGGATCAATCGAGGCAATGCTGATAAAATACTCGTAAAGTATTCGAATAGCAATTTGACGCTTCGCCTCCAATATCGAAATCAGACTGACAGGCGGGTACGTCTATCCATAAGCGATATTGATAATGGTCATATTTGAGAAGGCGCTTTTTATTGACTCATCACCGTAAGAATTGGCTTTTTCACATAGCAACCAAGGACACTTGAGGGGGTCCGTCCAGGTGACAGCTGTGGTAAAAAAAATAATAATAATTCGACTGTCAAATGACATCATGCATAAAATTTTAGAACAGGGCAAGCACACCGAGTGCATATAAATGAATTAAGCTTAATAAAAATATCACAAAGCGCGGAAAAAAAATAAATGTTGCGCATTTGCGATGCTGAAACACCTTGAGGAGTATATGGTGTGAGAGCACATGTCCTTGAGCAAAACTTTTAACATGCACATGCACTTTTACCATCTTTGCTAAAAGCAGCAGCTCCAATTCATAGTGATCATTCCTACAGAAAACCTACTATCTTAATCTGAGACCCTCGGTGGGGAATTTAAGGAAACGATCTCGGGCATTACAGATTCTGGTGAGTTTTTATTTTAATTTTTTCATTGTTTTTGGCGGCAGGGATAGCGTACTTAGTATCAGAGATTAACGAACTGTCTCAAGCGGCGTCATCTAGCTGAGCTTGATAACAATTTAGACAGAGCCAGATTTAGTGATGCTAGTGATAGTGAAGACAAAGAAAGTAAGTGCTACCAGGACTCAAACTTTGTATTAAACGTCAGAGACAACGGCGAGTAAGTAACTTCTAGACAAATAAGCTCAAATAGTTTACAAGATGAAATAAATATAAGGGATCGTTTATTATTATTCCAAAACCTCGTTGAATAAAAAAAGGCATATATAAACTGGATCTTGCATAGTGCATCATGGATGTAGTTCTGATTCTGGATGAGGTGTCATCTATCTTTGGTCAGATGACAAGTGTTACCGCCATGAGAGGTTTTCACAAGGCTAATAATGATATATTACGAGACTTCATTTATTTGTTTCTGTGGAGAAAATGAACCCTGAAATCAAAACAATCTCCTTTAAGCTTGAAAAACGAACTTCACTTTGTTCCAGCTCTCTTGAGAGCTACGAGAGTTCATTTGAAGTGGATCAGATTAGGCCCGATAAGAAGTTGGTCATCATTTTGTATCATAACCAAATCATCAATTTAATCAATGTTTTTTTACAACGCTAGAATGATAAAAGGCTCGATTGTCTTATATTAATATCTAGTTACTCTCATGAAACACAAGGAAAAAAGCACTATTGATTCATTGTTTGATAACACTTTTCCATATCGCCGTATTCCATATCGTCGTCCTCATCATCCTTCTCATCCGTATCACCCTCATCAGCTTCCATCGCGTCGCCTATAGCTATATTTCCATTTGCTGCCTCATGTGGACGTCTGACTGAAGCAGTAAATGTTTGAAGGTGCTTTGTTTCTTTCAGCTTGATAAGGCCTCTTGTGAAGAGATTTTCCACAGGGCTTGCGTTAGCGGTTTGCGAGTGAGATTTTGAAGGATTTTCTTTATCATAGAGGCTCAGATTATCGAACTCCTTGAGGGTTGCGAGGATTTCATTGATATCACCGCTTGGAGGTTTTACGGCATGTTTGGTGCCTGCGTAAGAAACATCAAACGCATTTCCCATCTGCTCTCCAACTTGTCCGAGAGAGTGGATGTTGACCGACAGCGACCCATCTAGCACGTCCCAATTTGCAGCCCTTGCTCTTGCCTGGTGCATCTTTTTGATGAGCAGGTTATTATGCTCTTGATAAAGATCAGTAGGTATCCAGCGGTTTTCTTGGCCTGTAGTATTTACCAACCATGAGGACATGACAGCTTTTACTGTCTGATCGGTCCAGGTGTATTTGAGACCGCGCTGTAATCGCAAAAGCTCATACGCATAGTTCTTTGTACCCCCAACCTGACAAAAAATAGTGACCCATACTAACATCTCATGTATGCGCCCAGTGTCTCCAGCCTTGATAGCAGATGATAGCTCTATATATATAAGCATATCCCTTATGAATAGAGCAGCGTTCATAGATACGGTCCCATTGAGCTGCTCCAGTTCGCTTAGCTCCATAAGCTTGTCCAGAACAATGTCTATACGCTGCTCGAGTTTTTCTTGCAGAATATAGTCGAGCATGCCCTGTACGCCTGCTTCTAGGTCATCGCTGAAAAATATTTAGACAGTAGTTATCAGAAGCTAAGATAAGTGAGAATAAGATGTGGGTCCACACACCACATCCATGGGGTATTTATTCATTTTCTGGTAGAGAGACTCGTACCAAGTAACTACATATCTATCTAGAAGCGACATGGGATTATTCAGGAACCATGTCGGTGTTTTGTCGCGTCTCTAGTGACGCGTTATTATTATTATATTTTTCTTAGCGTATTAATTTTAGGAATTCCCCTAGTATGTTCCTAGTGTGTTTTTAGTATTTTTCTTAATCTTATAGCTGGGCCGTTATTATCTTGTATATTGAAATATACAACAATCGCATCCTAGGTCAAGCCCCCACGCGCGGATTACCATGGCATCAAACGTATGTTGAAGAAGTTCATTTGTTGCGTAGAAATCAGGCCCATCAAGGGTGACACGATTCCTCCCTAGCATTGATGCATAGAAAGCTAGTGATCCTGGCACTCCTATGTCACCATAGTGGGTACGTAAAATCGTTGTAGCAAGCATCATCTGCAGATGAAAAAGCTCTATCACAGGAATCGCCCAATCAAATCTCTCGTAGGACGAAATGTCATCGCACCGTTGCTTCTGCAGTGAATGGATTCTGCTCACCGTAAGCTGATCACCGGAAATCAGGACCCTTTCCCCATTGAACCAATCAGAGCAAATTTAGGTGTACCTTTCATCACAGTCTCCAGAACATCCCTATTTGCATCAAACGGTTATAGATCCTCAACGCAAAGAAGCCGAGCAGGATTGGTATCTCGTTCTTCTTCTGCAGTCTCCTTTGAGATAATAACCGTTGCTGCGGTTCCACTCTCAAATAAGTCGCGGTTGTCGAGCCGTTGATCATGCTTACGACAGGCCATATTGATGTTGTCATAGACAACGTGAAAGGATTCGACCTTGACTTTACCTTGGACGCTTTTGAGAGTGTCTTCGGACAATGAACCCATAGCCTTGAGGATCGATTGATGAGAGATCGACATCCCCGCCTTCGATAATAGCGTGATGAGCTTCCGTGACGCGCCCTGATGGAACAGAATAGCCCAAGCATCATTTGAAAGTAATTACAGTTGCGATTGCGGAGAAACGCAAAGATTCTGACAACTACAGGCACGACTTTCGATGGGTCCCTCGAACATGTTTCATTTGCATGCGCAATACCTGACAAGAATGCGCAAAGAACAGGAGCTTTGGCCTTGAAAATCCTGTCAATAGACTCGAGCTCAAACTTTTCAATCTTCTCCAGTGTGATATCGCTAGCCGGGAATCGCAAGGCTTTAAACTGGGATGCCTGTTGCAGCTCGTCTTTGACATAGCTGAGGACAAAATTGGTGGCGGCACGAACTTCTCTCTTGGTGTTGGGAATCTGTCATCTGACCCCAGAGAGAGATAGTTTCAGCAGGTCCTTCACTGTCGTTATAGTAACGAACTCTCGTTTTGACAACATTATCTTCCGATGAGAAACACGCTTGCAAAAAGGTCTTGAGCGATAGTCTTTGTCTTTTCATTTCATCAAAGACTCGCGTCAATTGAGTATATATATATATTTATATTGTATATTTATTTTTTAAGGAGGTAGTGGTAATCGGGTGAATAAATGAGATTGTGAAATGAGAGCAAGAAAAACAGTAGCATGCTTCACACATAGGCTATTTTCCTGTGACCTGTAGGACTTTGCTTGAACAAAAAAAAAAAAAAAAAAAAGCTATCCCCTGTAAATGACTTAGAAAAAAAGAGCCTTTCCTAGCGGTGTGTTTGACTTAGAGAAGTGTCTGTAAGAACAAGCCACATTTGCCTTTCAGCATGTGCATGTGCACATGAACTTCGAGTGACGAGCGTTAGTGCAATGCACAAAAGCCACACAGGCTGGCGACAAACCTTTTTTTTTTTTTTTACCTAATTACATCCTTTAACACTTTGTCCCATTCCAAACTTCTCCTATTTTCTGTCTTCTGTCTATCTTTGTTTTAAACAGTTTGACATCACAATGCCATCACCTCCAACTGAATCGTATGAAAAGAAAGAAGGAGCGAATGAAGTGTCTTCAAGCACCAATGAGCCTAAAAGCCCCGAGCCAGCTGAGCTAAAGATTTTTTGTATTGTTGATGGAGAAGCAACATCTTTTCCTGTAAAGATTCTTTCCAATAGTTCAGTAGGTGAACTCAAGCAAGCAATCTATCCCAATATTACTGTGGATCCAAGCGTTAAGCCCAAGGACCTCACCCTCTATAAAGTTTCCATCCCTGACGAAGGCAAGACCGTCGTCGAGTCAGAAATCGAGTCAAAAGAGGCTCTTACAGTCGCATCAAGGGAGCTTGGGGACATATTCAACTCTGAACTTCCAAAGGAAACTATCCATGTTCTTGTCAAGCCACCACAGAAAGGTATGTATTTGGCTCTTGATGGACTGATTGTTGATATTTTCAGCCGATGGAGCTTATTTTCTGTCTCACCATGGTTATGTAATACCCCCAAAGCCATCCTTCCTCCACCTTGGATTGTCACAAGTTATCCGCAGTTGCGCGCCATCAAAACATTTCCTGCACTAAAATTGGTGGCAATTACAACTGCGCAGCACAACAATCCACTTTCGTATTATTTCAACTGATCTCATCAATGCCTCTTTTCAACTTTTTATAAACACTACTCTTCTTTCCCACTCATATGTATATCAGCTTTTTCCTTTATTGTGATACTGGCTCTTCCGCTGCTGCATCAGGTACGGCTCCGCTGACAGATTGAATGGATTAGGCTTTTAAAATGATATTCATTGTGTACATACCAAGAGGTCTTGACAACTTATTCTAATTCTACTTTTTATTTTTGTTCTTGTTATTATCTGGCTTGACTTGTTTATTTATGAATCAGGTATATCATCTTTGACTTTTACTTTTATTCTCTTGCTCGTGAGTTTGTTTTAATCTGCTATTTCTTTTTTTTTTGCAAATCAATTTTCCTGTACTTCTTTGATGGTGCATTTCAGGGCCGATAACTGGTGAGTGTCGATCGAGCAGCTATTGTTGTTATTCAACATACGACTTGATGTCTAATAATCTTGTCTTATTTGGAAACTTGAAACATAGTCGAGAATATCAAAAGGATTGTAAATACTTTCCTAGCGCCTAAATCGGAAGCAGCCATCAATCTTACCAAGTTTGTGAAAGGTCATTCCGACTTTGAATTGCCTCGTACGACTGGTAATACCGCTGGGTTACCGAGGGTTTGGCTTCGAGGCGAGAATAGGCCTGCCAACAATCGGCCGAACCTACTATTTCTGGATTTACCAGATCTCTCTCAGGTCAACATATTGGCGGAGCGACCTATTTTAAAGGGAATTAAAGATCTGATTAAGAATAATACTTCAGGAATCGTCCCCATTTTCGGAGTGAGTGGATGCGGCAAGACCCGTGGCGTGCTTGAGCTATTATCTTGTCAATGGGGATTTTACTTCAACGCTTCTGGAAATGACTTGGGGTCGGGTGACATGACTTTTCTACTTAACGAGATTCCGAATCAACTTACGGAAGATCGAAGCGCCAACAACCTTACAGCTAGGGCATTAACGTTCATACTATTGCTTGCACGACTAAAGATCCTCCAATACTGCTTGCAAGTTCCGGATAGTAAGAGTACGTTTACATGTGCAAGATGGACTATACTCCAAGCTTGTCCTTACATATTCGACTTGGATGTATTTGATACACTTTTTCGAGCATTTTACGAACTAGAGTGGAAAACAGGAACAACCTTATACAACATAGTAACATTTGAATTTGATGAGACCCAGAGACTTCTTGGTCTTTTTTCGGGTGCTTCAGGATCCACAAGGTTTTTAGTAGTATACGATGAGGCGCAGGTCCTTGGTGAAGCTTGCCTTAACAAATTTGGGTTGGCAGCGGAAATGTCTGCTCGGCCGTTGCTTTATCCTATTTTGCTTGGAATTCGAAGCATCGCAGGTAAGGAGGAACTCACGGCCGTCACTACTGGGACAAGACTCTGTATTTACACTCTTACATGGGTAGAGAAGAGTGGATCTATTCAGGAGGGATACAGGAATATAATCATTTCAGAATTGCTCGAATCATTCATGGAATATCTGAAGTTTGAGTGCATGGAGTTCCCTGGATGGGTTGGTTATGAGTCAGTCAGTACTTATATCACCAATCTTAAGGGCCTACTTAAGGACGAAGCCGCGAAAACTCGCCTAGATGAACTCCTACCACCACAGGCTGTTGAGTTGATGGTGAAAAAACTTGTTGGCCGTTTTCGTCCAATCACCAAAGCGATTGAGAGGACCATCGAATTCAACACGAAAGATGGATGGAAGCGAGCAGTCGATCTTGTAGAAAAGGATCTTGTCTCATACGATTTATGTAGAGAGAAAGCCAACCTCTGCTATGAACTTATTCGGTTGGAGAGAAAATTTACTCAAAATATTAAGCTAGCCAAGGATTTTAAGAATCCGATGCTCAGCTCATGAAATTTTAAAGCTACTACTCTTTCAGCGCTATATGTATGGAGATACGAGTATAGTACTTCCAAGGGCAGAGCCTTTGTTAGTGGAACACGCTCTAGGTAGGTTCAGTATTGTCGGGAAGAAAACAACTACTGTGGTAGACGAACCATTTGTGCTGGCCGCAGTAGAAAACTATTTCAAGGCGCAGGACCCTGAATTTGTAAATAGTTTAAAAGCATGGATGGAACAAACAGACAGTCCTCAAGCCCAAGGACGTGGGTGGGAGCCGATGATGATTGGAGTTTTCATGGATGTATTTCAATCAGGATCAGAGAATAAGAATCTTTGTAACTGGGATCACAGCCCAACGATCCGTTCTATGTGCGAAGAGCTCGATGGAGATGCAGAAATAGTTGGTTTGCGCGATAACGGCAACCAGGGGATCACGCATGAGCATATTTCAATGAAGGATTTCATGTCTGCCCATGTTAACAACAACTCAAGACACGAAGATATGACTGTTCCCCCGTTTTACTTCCCGTCAAATATGCCTTCAGGGCCGGATATAGTCTTTTACATTCGAATCCAGGAAAAAATCTTCCCTGTGTTTGTGCAGCTCAAGCTTCGACATGCTCTTACGACTTTTGAAGCTAATAAGGCCGTGGATACAGTATCGGAAAAGAGTATCAAGACGCATGTTGGGGAACTCAAGAATTACTGCCCTTGTAATACTTTTGTTAGTATAGTAGTTGCGTATCCTGCCAAACTATTAGACAGCGTGAGTCGCGTACAGGGGCTTTGTCCTAAGGAGGTTGAGGATAGGGAGAATATGCTTGCAAGGTTGCGCAAATCTAAAATGCCTGAAACGGACCAGGACCTAAAACAAGTGTTGATCAGGATCGATCAGAAAAATATTCGCAAGATTTTTCCAGCGGAGCATGTTGATTTTCTGGATACAATCAAACGCAAGTTGGAAGATGAAGATGCTGAAAACCAAGGCAGCCCTTTGAAAGTTATGAAAATATGAAAAACATCTGAACAGTTGTCTAGCTCAGTAAACTCATTCGCAAAATAAAAAGAGTGTGTGTAACGAATCGATAAACAATTCTTTGCACAAAAAAAACGTCAATACTTTTTTTTAAAAACGTAATGCTGCTAGGCATATTGTATATTGTATTCGCAATATTTGTCAGAAGCGCGCAACCCATCTACTTACTATATCTCTATGGAACTGTATACATCCGAACACTGCCACATGCGTTGTCTGCAGATGAAACAAATTATAACATGAGGCAAGAAATACACACCTTGCTGTGGCGTCTTGACAAGAATGAATGTTTTAGGGCCTAGTCAGCTCATCTAGTTCGGAAAAAATCGCTGTCTCGTCCTTGAACCCCGTCTTGTCCACGGTGAGATTAAAATTTACATTATCATTGCGGTCCCTTTTGAGATTGACTGTTCGCCAGAGAATGACTGAATATTTGGAAGAAATCGCCATTGGGAAAGATGGTTTTTTTTTTTTCCCCCATGACAGCGACAGATTAATATCGTTCTTGATTCGACTGGCTGAGCAGATCTGGTGTCCTTCTCAGTCTCTCTGTTTGGTAGGGGTATAGATTAGAAGTTGCCTCAGTAAATCCTTGTTCTTGCTTTCGCTCCTCTGATTTCTTATAAAAAGTCGAGTGATTCTCGTTGAAAATTCTAATGAAGGTTTATTATGAGCCTCTTGGTTTATTTTGAATATTACAGCTAACAGAAATACATGGTATGCTCTTTTTTTTTCTTTTCTGTTTAGTTTCCTGTATATATATATTTATATATATGTTTGTTGCATTTTGTTTGTGTTTTGAGTATGCTTTTTTTTTTTTTTTTTTCTTTTTCCTTGTATTCACAAAAAGTAATCTGGTGGTCCTTCTCTTTGAGGAGTTGCTCGTGAAGCCATTGAATTACGTTCAGAATCTCTGAAGATCGTATAACTCTTGTTGAGACTAGAATCTATCTCCAATATAGCCGCTACATTGCCACATCTAGTTTTTTTTTTTTTTTTTTTTTTTTTTTAAAAAAAAAAAAAAAAAAAAAGAGACCACCAACAACGCGATATGTATTAGTTAACAATTTAAAAAAAAAAACCTTGTGGAAGATGTAAGAGTATGTTTGAACATTGTGTTCTTTTTTTACCTATAACAATAGTTGGGTGCAGACCACACAGTGACTACTGTGTCATCAAACATCAATTTGTAGCCCTCCATGACCAGCTGATGTGCGCGAGCAATAAGTTCTAATCCGTTGTTATGTAAGAACTACAGAAAACAATACAATATGTATACCATAGAATAACATTGTCAGCGTACCATTGCAACCCAAACGAACATGATAATCAAAGAAAACAAACGCTTCCTGTTTACAAAGCTGTGATGAAATCCTTACAGGTTTAGCTACGCTTTCGCCAAACAAAAATCCTGCACCACGGGGACTAAGTCCCCATCCTGTACAAGAGTCTGGATCAGGGTCTGACCAAAGCAAGTCGCACATTGCACCATTATGAGGAACTTCTTGCATTCTATCAATCGTCCGGATCTACAATCATATCATCCGAGGAAAAAAAAAAAAAAAAAAGTTCAGCAAATAGTCTCATCAAAGAAACACTCACTCCTCACTACAATGATCTTCCTATTCCTGATTCTGATTGGTTCACAAGATAGCAGTAGCAATAATAGTAATAATATGCGCTATACCTGATCAATGGTGTTGATAGACGGTGAAAGACCTCCATGTACACAAAAGATACGATCATCAATGATAGCAGACAAGCTCAGGTAGTCAAAAATTTCACAGCAATATCTCCAGACGTTGGCGGATCCGAATTTTGTAAAACACTCGTCGTAAAATCCATAGACTTTAGTGATCTGTCGTGATTCATGATTGCCCCGAATAAGCGTAATCCGATCTGGATATCTGACCTTTATATTTAGATGAGGAGGAGGAAAAAGGATAGTGTGTTGATAAAAAAGGCAAAAAAAAAAGAAAAAGAAATGTCGTCAGTTATGAGAAATCGCCGACCAATATTCAACGCAGATCGTGATTCGATTCGCAAGCTCGGAGATACAGCTGCCAAGCATTTTTTTTTTTTTTTTTTTTTTTTTTAAAAAAAATATATATCACACGACAACGTAATCAAACTGGACTTGTAACGGTCCTCATGTAAGAAATTGTATGCTATTCTTTATGGTTTTTTACCTTGAGAGCCAACAGAAGTAAAAATGTCTCTACACTGTGATGTCCTCTGTCAACAAAATCGCCTGTTGAGTGTATGAAAGGCCAGAGGAAACAAAAAGTGTTTATGAGTGTTTCAATGCTAGTGTTTTTTTTTTTTTTTTTTTTTTTTTTTTTTTTTTTTTTTTGGAACAAGTTTTCTACATACCCATGAAAAGATAGTTAGTTTTTGGGCATTCACCACCAACTTCAAAGAGTTTCTTGAGATCCCAAAACTGACCGTGGATGTCACCGCAAACCTAATAGAGCAAAATTTGTAAAAAAAAAAAAAAAAAAAAAAAAAAAGGGTTGAATTTATGAGTGTCAATGGTGGTTCATCCTTCATCCCGATCAATTTTACGCTGCGATGCTCAGTTCTTCTTTGAAGCTTTGTGATGCTTTCATGTCATCATTCATTGTTCATTCTTCATTGAGGTCCAAGCAGCGAGAATTATTGCGCAGTAAAGCTCCATGTCTCGTTATGGCTATTGCTGTTACTGCTATCATTGTCATTGTTCTCTAATTTGCTATGCTTTTGTTTTTCTTTTTTTTTTTTTTTGTTCATTCTAGAACGTACAGTCACCGGTGCATCCACGCGTTGAACATTACTCTCTTCAACAAGGATCTCCCTGGCTTTTAAGCATAACTCCTTGACTTCAGCTTCTGTGATGATTTTGCATTGAAGCAGTGTCTGGATTTGACGATCTAAATCGGATCCCATTTAAAAAGGCTCTTTTTTAAGGAGGGAAAACTTATAAGGGAAAGGGGTATAAATAAGAAAGCTAAAAGAGGGAAGGAAGTATTGAGGATAAGGACAAGAAGATATCTATGCAAGGTAAAAAAGAGAAGGACAGAATGAATGAACGAACGAACGAATGAATAAATGAATGGATGGACAGATGAATATGTTACAGTGCGATGAGGATGCAATGAAGGAATGGGCAAAAAAAAAAAAAAGAGAGAAGACCCTTCAATCTAACATTCTTTTTGTTTTTTGACTCCTCAGGCACTCTTGGAATAGGCAATCTGCTAGATTTTATCACGTGCCAAAACACGTTTTAGTGATCTGAGGAAAGGATGTTCTACGCAGTGCTTCTATTTGAACTGAAGCTTTGTCAATTATGATGTTCCAGATTAAAAAAATAAGTATCAATTGACAAAGTTTCAGTTCGAATAGGAGCACTTGGTTCTACGCTCATTATCTGCCAGGCACAAAAGTCATCACAACTGATGGAAACTTACGGAGGCAATATGAGCGTCTTTTATACCATCGGAACTCAATAACGGGTTCACCCAACCGCCAATTAAACAACTAATTTGAGTGAGTGTCTCAATCCCAAGTGCATAGGAGCCGCACGGAATCGATCGATTTGTCTCCCACAAGAACACTCAACTTGCAAAATACATGTCATGCAAATACGCCCCGTTCGCTCCCAGCACAAAACGCATTCCCGCAACTGTAGAACAATCTGGGGCCGACTATACAAATGTTCGCCACGGAACTTGATTCTAAAATCCTGGACTCTCTAAAGAGAAAACTCTCCAAGGCGACATTGACTACATCCAATTGGACAAGGGCAATATAGTATCTGACCATCGGAACGATGTCAACAACGACACCACTCACGCTAACGCGGATAGTAGTGCGCTCATTGTCACCACAGAGCCCCGAGATCTTGAACAAGAGCCAGCATGACGCTTGCTGGCCCGGAACATCGATGGTGCCAGGACTTCTTGATCCAAGGCCTCAATAACGATGCCATGAAAGTAATACTGGGCTCGGCCTCAGAGCCCATAGAGGGTCTACGCTATCATCGGTGTCAAAAGAATCATGTGGACTCTATCAGAGCCAACCCAACAGTAGGGTAGGACAAATGAGCTAAAGGATAGTTAACCCAACTGATAGCATATCGTGCGCAGATCAAAAGTCTGTACCTAGATAAAAAGTCTTTGAAGGAACCCCTGTATTCAGCAATCTATTCAAGATCCTCAAGGCCAGTCAAGTCAGGTCAGTCAAGTCAGCCCAGCCAAAGACGCAGGAATCGACATTGCGTTGTCCCATGATCATTTCAGAGTAGAGCTTTGGGAAATAATGACACTAGTAGCTCTTTCATTTTCCGTCCTGAAACCCAAGTTTTTATATAGTCCTTTCTGCTTGCCATAAATGCAAACAATCTTCGTTCTTCATCTCCGTTTTAAGACGTCTGCTTGCTTAACATTATGTAATTGTCTAAGGGTTCAAAACTATAAAGTCCCCGCCGCGCAATGTTCAACACTTAGTCTCTGTCGATTGTTTTTGTTTCAGTAAAGTTGCTACATCCAATGACAGTCTGTGCGGGAGGAAAACCTTTCTTCTGTTTGTATGCAAATGTATAACTTTTTTGCTGTCAGCAAAACCGCTTAATCGAAGTTTTTGGGACGGACCATTAAAGACAGACCTTTTTTTGGAAATTGCTATGGGCGTGTGTCACATGGTGCCGGTTTGGGGCCCAGTATTTTTTTTTCCGTGAATAAAAAATAGTTGACGTCGTCATTGTCACAGTTCATGCACTTGTATATTATATAATCACTCCCCCACGTCCAAACAGTGGACTTGAAATCATTGGTTAAGACTAACACTATTTTAAATATCGGAATAACTTTATAACATCAGTAATAATAATAATAATAATAATAGCAATTTAATGAGCATACTTTACAACTTTTACAATAGTCCCTAGTCCTTCGTCCCCAGTCCTCCACTCCCCCCGCCCTCTCCCCTTCGCCGTAACTTTTGCTATTACTGTTGCCTCGGCATTTTTTATCATTTGTTTTTATTAGGAGAGGGATGGCGCAAGAGCGAATAAAAAACAAACAACTACGTGGTTAGCATTGGCATTGATCGGCGTTGGCGTTTACGTTTGTATCTACAGTGGTATAAGCTTATTACTTGCTTTGTGTGGTTGGCCTTTTTACATTCTCAAGCCCTTGTTGCGCAAGCTCAAAAAAATGCGCAATAAAAAAATAAATAAATAAATAAAAAAAAAACCATGCATACATCATTTGCTCGATTTACAGGTCCATTGACTTTTTTTTTTTTTTTTTTTTTTTTTTTTTTTTGGCTGAACCCATGTGGCCAACATCAGGTTCAATTGATACGTGAATCAGTATAAAAACAACTTTGCTTCTTTTCTCTTTCATCTTTTTCTTCTTATTCAACTCCTCCTTCAATTCCCTTCATTTTCATCTCTTCATATTTTTTGCTTTTTTCCCACCTGGATCGTTGTCGCCCCATATTCTTTAAAAAAAAAAACAAACAAACGATAATTAGTCTTCCTTACCACTCTATTCTTTCTAAAAATCCCCACCCTTCTTCCCTATTTCTTTTTTCCTTCCTTAGAGTCGATTTCTATCCTCTCTCTCATTGTAGAACAACATTCTTATTTTAACTGGATATATATAATACATATTCTTTATCCAATTCCTTTTATTTTTTTTAAGCCTTTCAAGCCATGATTACTTCGACATCGTACCATTCATTCAATAACATTACTGACTCAGGTTTGCCCCCCTCCGGATTCTGGGGTTATCCTACAGCTTCAGGTAAAGGAAAAGAAAATTTAATTAAAAAAAAATAAAAAATAAAAATAAAAAAAATTTTTTTTTAATATGAAATGTAATAAAAACAAAAATTCTTGTAGCACCTGAACCGTGCACTAACTGCGTCAACTATTTCTTTCGTCTCTCTTTCTCTCTTTTTCTCTATCTCTCTATTTCACTTTTTTTTGGAATCTTTAGTGGGTAAGAATCTATTCATTTGAAGAAAAAAAAAAAAAAAAAAACTACGAACTGCGGAAGTCTGAAGAAGAAAAAACCAAAAAAAAAAAAAAAAAAAAAAAAAAAAAGACACGCGATATCTTCATAATTGGACTCGTGTTCCTCTAACTGATGAAAATAGAAAAAGGAAAAAAAAAAAAAGGTCATGAGAAATGATCAAGAGTTGGGGAGGAAAGAGAAAGGGGCAGGGAGTTTGAGTAAAAAGTCGAGTGGTCGACTAGGTAATGATGATGACTGACCACAACAATCATATGCAGCCGATCATGGTGGTGAAGTGGGCGGAAGGATGACTAATTATTATTATTATTTTTTTTTTATTGTTACAAAGGAAAAAGCTGCGGAAGAAAGGAAAAAAGGAAAAAAAAAAAAAAAATCAGACAGTATGAGTTCAAACAAACAACTGGCACTTTTCTTGTTGGCTGATTGATAGCAATCATTGACATCAATCATGACAGGGATGATTTATGGATGATGTGAGGGTGGTGTGGGGGTGGTGTGGGGGGTGATGGGATATCTGACATTTATCAGGAAGCATGCGCATGACTCCGTGTTGTACAGGACATGTATTTGTATAAAGAATACTTTAACATTGCATTGGACAATGTCGAATTGTGCATGATCGGCCATTGTGTAACCGTCATTTTTTTTTTTTAGTTTAGTCCTAGTCATTTGGATTGGTGGCACATGTCCAGTCCAAAAGTATTTTTTACTAATGTGGACCTGAACCTGAATTTATTCATATTCTGTCATCATGCAGCAAAGAAAACACACACAGCAAAAGGGTACATTTCGTAATTTAAAAAAGAAAAAGAGAGATAGAGAGAGAGGGGGAAAAAAAAAGAGGTAACTCGAATCAAGATGCATGGATTGGGAGGAGGAAGATGGTCACAAGGATCAAAGTTAACGAAAAGTGCGACAAGCTTGCAATACGCATTCCAATTAGACATTAGACCATGTCAATTAACCTGGTTTTTTTTTTTTTTTTTTTTTCTTTTTCTACATCCTTATCCATAGATTGGTGTGAACAAAATTATGTAAAGTCACATTACATTGCAGAGTACTTCAACTCACTCTCCTCCTTCTCAATGATCCTTGTGGGTCTCGCCGGAATGTATCTCCATGCCTCATTCGAGAAACGATTCCTGTTCGCCTTTGGTTCCATCGTGGTGGTCGGCATTGGCTCCATTGCCTTTCACGGGACCTTGCTCTTCCCTCTACAAATGCTGGATGAAGTCCCTATGGTCTATTGCGCCCTAGCCGTTGTTTACTGCTGTGTCGAGAACAAGCCCTATCGTCGTTATGGCCCTTGGTTCCCTATCGCCCTCACCCTCTACGGCGCCTTGACCACCCTCATTATGCTCTATGCCAATGGTCCTGAGCATCATCTACTCGAATTCATTGTCTTTCAATCTTCTTTTGCCTCCGTCATCCTCGTCATCCTCTCCAATATCATCAAGATCTATGCCCGTCTACAGATCCATGAAGAGCCTATCAAGAAACTTTGGTGTCTCGCCGGTATCATTGGCGCAGTCGCTTATAGTTATTGGAACATCGACTTCAGGATGTGTGATCTTATGGGAAACCTGCCCTTTGGTCTTGCTAACCCTCAATTCCATGCTTGGTGGCATGTCGGCGCCTCCGCTAGCGCTTATATCGTTTGCCTGTTGATTTGCTATGACAGAGCGTCTAATCTTAATCGTCATCCAAGTATCGAATGGAAGGCTGGATTCCTACCCTATGTCACCGTCGACAAGCCCTTGGCACCAAGCAAGGCTAAACTTCATTAAAAAAAAAAAAAAAAAAAAAAAAAAAAGGGGGTTTTAAGTTAAGTAAGGCCTTCACAAGCGTGAATGTTGGTCCCAACATTCTGTTGTATCATATTCAGATAAAGATGTAAATTTGTTATATATATATAACTCTGAGAACATCGTCCATTGGATCTTACGCACAAGAGTGTCTTTGTTCAGTGTCTCCATAAAAGAAATAAATAGTATTATATTGTACAGATGTAAAAAAAAAAAATTATTTCTCTGATTTAAAATTATATACATCTACGATGACGGTCGTACAGCCGCTTTAGAAACTGTAGTGGCGGTAGTAGTAGTAGTGGTAGTGGTAACGGTAGGTGTAGTAATAGTTGCAGAGTTCGGCATGGTAGAGACGAGAGTTGCTCCTTGGACTGAAGTGATACTCACACTGGCAGACGGCGAACTCACAACGGCCGCTGCTGCTGTTGTTGCTGTTGTTGCTGTTGTTGCTGTTGTTGTTGTTGTCGATGTTACCGTTGGTGTTGTTGCTCCAACCGCAGAAGAAGAAGATTGAGGAGTGTCTGCAGCGGTAGTTGTAGAAGCCATAGTAGTGGCGACATCTGTCCCTGCTGAGACACTATTGCGCTGCTGCTGACTGTGGCTTGCTTCTCGATGGGCATTAGAACGGTTACTACTGCCATTACCATTATTGCCACTGCTATTGCTGGGTTTACTACCATTACCCTTACGATGTCGATCATGCTTTTCATGTTTCTCATGTCGTTCATGATGGTGGTGCTGTCCCAAAGATTTCGATACTGCCGTTGATGGTGTTGATGTTGCTGTTGCTGCTGAGGTATTAGAAGCAGCGGCCGACGCTTCTGCTCCAGCCTGGTCTCGTTCAATCTCCCTATTTAGTTCTTCTAATTGCCCTAAAACGAGTCCTACAAGATGATCCTGTCGCTCAACATCCCAACTAGCTCTTTCTAGATCAAACCGGCTCTTCCTTCGTGCTTCCATGAGTCTATCCTCCTCTGTTCTTAATCGCTTCAACTCTTCGCGATATCGCTGTACTTCTTGTTCTATCTCTGGTGCCCATGATAGTTTCGTTACATCGACAACTGTACTCATGATTTGTTGTTGCTGTTGCTGTAAACGCTGCTGTGGCGTCAGTTGTGTTGAGGATCCTTGGTTGGATCCTCCAACGTTGGCTGGTCCATTTGGATTGTTGTACAACGCAGAAGATGAAGATGAAGCGTTTCCTGACGAAGTTTTGTATGGGCTTCCATTATAATTGCTGCTAGGCCCCAGGTTGGAGGACGAATGTGACAGAGGAAGGCCGGATGAGGATGAGCCTGAGGCCGCTGGAGGTGGAGGTCCAGAGGAATGTCGTCCAGGATACGGCCCCGAAATACCACTGCCTCCACGACCCATTCCAGGCATAGAGTCACGATCCCTATCACGCTCTCGGTCGCGTTCACGATCACGATCCCGATCCCGCTCTCGCTCACGTTCTCGTAGCTCTCTGTCCCTATCCCTATCTCGCTCACGTTCTCTTTCTCGATCTCTCTCCCGATCACGATCTCGGCGATAATCAAGATCATATTCTGGAATTTGTCCCGGTTCTGGAACAGGCGAGAAGCTTTTCGCTGGCACAGCACTAGGACGCTCAGATGATGAGGCCGCTGATGATGATGACGATGATGCCGCTGCTGGTGGTGGTGGAGGGCCGTTTCTCCGTGGAGAGTCAGCTGCAGATGGCGAAGCGAGTCTCGAAGTGGAAGTTCCAGACCGTGAGGTTGATGAAGATGCTGGAGGAGGAGGCAATTGATGCGGTACAGGTCTTCGTGCAGGCGGTGGAGGTGGATGGGCATGTGGTAGACGTAATTGATTGTGGGGCGATGGGGACTGATATGCGGAAGATGATCCATAGTGGCGACTAGGAGGGGGTATTCCATGTCCTAGATGTCCTGGAGAGCCTCCGCTCAGATGTCTTGAGCGGGGAGGCGGTGGTGAAGGTCGATATGGATGATAAGGATCTCCTCTGGAATAATAATCCCGCTCACTCCGATAGTACGGGTGATGATCCCTGGAAGAATAATATGAAGACGACAAATGAGGTGGTGGCGAACGATGGGAACCGCCTCCAATGCGATAATGTGCATCGCGATGGTAATCAGATGAAGACATCCCGTACGGAAGGTCTCCCATGGGTGATCGTGATCGGGTTCTGCTTGCGCCATTACCATTGCCACCGCCACTGCCTAGTCCACCGGCAGGTCCTTGTCCAGTAGAGCCACTATACCTCTCCGTCGAGGATCCGCGATGAGATTCACCTGCTGAACGTGAGTATGGGCCGTGTCTGTCCATGGCGTAACGTCAGTTTTCTGGACTCAGGCTGGAGAGGGAATGAGGTGAACTGAAAAACAAGAGCATCCAGAAAATCCCTAACTAGTTTTGCTTAACAAATGCGCTAAAACTTCTTAACGTCATACTCGTGTCGCACGTGCCTAGTCTTGGGGTTTTTGTAAGAGGCTTTAGTGCAAATAGGGAGGGTCGAAAACTATGATATGGATGAATATGGATGAGCTCTTTATATATCGCAAACTACTGGGGCCTACAGATATCTGGATGATTCATAAAGAAGCATACTTAAAAGTCAACATCCAAACACTTGGTCTTAGCCAGCTATCAAGACGATATGAAACCTATGATATCCATTTTGAAAACAATCAAGGGGAAAATACCCCTAAAATGTTGCCAGAGCTGCGTGCCTGAGGCGGTGACCTTGGGAAAGGTTCATGATACTTGTAGAACATGAAGTCCCTGGCCTTTCCATCAACAGGATCCGCCATCATGGACGACTAGAATGACTGTGGCAAGCTTTGAACGACAGTATATGATAGATACGTTGCATAGCGAGGCACAAAGTCTCGTTATTCCAGAATCGGAGCAGTATTCATAGACCATTCTTAGAATGGAAGAAAGATTCGCACCGTTTCTTTTTTTTTTATTTTTTTTATTTTTTATTTTATTTTTTTTAGTGATATTGCGACTATATTCATTAGGAAACTTTAGATTCCGTTAAAAATTCGTGTAAGGATCCTGTGTGTGTTATGTTATCCATTACTCCATTGCTCATTCTTACTGTTGGAGAATGTGTTGTTCTTCACCGTCCACTTCAGAGTGCATCCTTTTGATTTCGCATGACATCAAATGCATAATCGTCCTTATTGACCGACCGTCGCGACTGAACTGAATTTCAGTTTTTTTTTTTTTTTTTTTTTTTACTATAGTCAAGGGAGTTTTTTTTTTTTTTTTCCTCATTTTATTTAAAGAAGATCCCTGGGATCATCTATTTTTTCATTCCCATTACTTACCATGATCCTGACATGTTCCGATCTTGGCATGTATAATTTTGATTTACAGTAGCGATAACAGTACTCATGCAGTATGGGCGCAGTCATCTCTCCAGGCATCCTTACGCATGGATTCGTGAAGCGATGTTTGACAGTGAGGACCTTGGGAGAGAGAGAGTTAGGGAGCGCGTTGTACTCACCCTGTACACACAGAATCCATGTGCCATCTTTGTAGATGGTATTGCGAGGAGGAAGGAGGAAGGGGAGGGGCGTTTATGGAAATAGTTGTTCATCTTGTGTAACAAAAAAGAAAAATATTTTTTATGGACTGTTGCGCGCAACCACATTCCGCGGCTTACGAAATACATCTTCAGCTTCAAACAGGTCGCGCTCTGACCATCGTGAGAGAAAAACATGGACTTGTCTATATTTTATAGGCATAGGCATTGGTGTTTTCATTGTCAATATCTCTATTCGAGACTCGTAGAAACACATCCTCATCTACGCTCCATATTGGCAAGAGCAAAACGTGATTTAATAAAAAAAAAAGCTGTTCGAGGAGTCCTTAAGATTACCAAATATAATGGAAAAATGGAGACACAACAAGCCATTGCTTGTGACACAACATCCTCATCGCTTAGCTGCTGTCCATACTCTTTTTCTCTTTGTTGCCTATGCCTTAGCAAAAAGAACCCTCCCTATGGACAAAAAAAAAAAAAAAAAAAATGATTATGAAATGAAGTGATATCTAAAAAATGGATCTAAGAAATAGATGGTAGACTTACTTTTTTCTTGTTACCTACCGCCCCTGGATACTGCATGTACATGGAAGAAGAAAGGAGGGCTCGTTACTGGTCTGTGTGGTTTTAATGCGTGCACGAACTCTTTTTTTTTTTTTTTTTTTTTTTTACCATTTTGTCATGCTGTCATTTGTCCGTTCTACATTTCTTCAAATCGTAGGCACAAATGCTCCAGGTATATATTTTACAACTCATTTCTTTATTAATTTATTGCTCCTCCTTGTCTAGAAATTCTCGACAAGACCATGATCCTGTCTATACTTGATGAGGTCTGCGATGGTAATCAGCTTGATACCGTGCTCTTGCGCAAATCTATAGCAATCGTCCCGACGAGCCATTGATCCATCTCTATCATTGACTAACTCGCAGATCACAGCGACAGGTTGCAGCTTTGCAAGTTTACACAGATCAACTGATGCTTCAGTATGTCCGAACCGTTTGATCGTACCACCCTCAGCATAACGAAGAGGTAGGATATGTCCGGGTCGGTTAAAGTCTTTTGCAGTCTTGGTAGGATCTGCGAGTGAGCGGCAAGTGAGCGCACGGTCATGGGCAGAGATACCTGTTGTGGTTCCATGTGCATAATCAACTGAGATAGTATAGGCCGTCTTCATCAATTCTTGATTATTAGGAACCATCAATGGCAAATCTAATTCCTTTAACCTCGCAGGTGCAGTCGGCACACAAACATATCCACTATAAAGTAATAGATAAGAAATATCCCCCCATGAGATCGCCATGAAAAATATGTTAGAAATGCAATTGAGGCGACGAATAAAATGCTCCGCCCTGCTCCGTTCTATCCAAAATGGGAAAGTGAAAAGTATGTCCTGCTCCGGTGTATTAGTAAGACATAAAGGGGTTACTTCTTTTTCCTATTTTTTTTCCTCCACTCGATAAATTTTCTTTACTCGATCCACTCTTTATGTCCAATCTCCTGATTGAATTAGTCGCTTCATTAGTCAGATGTAAAAGTCTATTGATGTATAATCATTAAAAATGTCGCCCTGTGTATTGATTGTCCTTGAGGGAAAAAAAATAAAATAAAAAAAATAGACTTTCAAGTAGTTGTCATGAGCTTATGATATTCAAAATTTTGATCTGAGCATGCAAGTTGGTGATCAGAACAAGATAACAGAGAATCACTCTCTGCTTTTATTATTGTTGGTATCGTTCTCATTGCCGTTGTTTTTTTACCTTGAATAGCGAATAAGAAAGGCCATCTGCTCTGTAGTAATCTTCTCAGCAGCAATAATCAGATCACCTTCGTTCTCACGATCCTCGTTATCGACAGCAATAACAAACTTTCCATCCGCTATAGCAATTTAATGAATTAGAGGAATCCAGCAAAGCTATTAGTCTATTAGTCTCATTAACGATCCAATATAGGCAATGTTGGGAAATAAAAAGAAAGAAAGAAAGAAAGAAAGAAAGAGAAGAGAGAAAAAAAAAAAAAAAAAAAAAAAATTCCTGATCACTTTCTGCGCAGCTGCATTGTTTTTTTGAACCAAATGTGCAAAAATAAAGTTGAAATGATCCACAATGTCAATGCCATTGAATTCTTGAACAAATAAAAAAGGGCATTCTGTTGCAATGAAAACAAGCTTGTTTTCTCCCCGATGCAAATGCCTAGATCCTCCATCTGGTTGTTGTGATGAAGTAAAAAAAAAAAAAAAAGGAATTCAGATGTAAAGGTAGAATATGCATTCTTTTTTTTTTTTTTTACCAATATCCTTAATGGCATCTTCGACAGAGTCAAAGCGAACTACTGTAGGGTCCTGAACCATTGTAAAAGAAGAGTATAGTATATTTGAAGGTGAGAATGAAGAGCGGAAAGAGGAGAGAGAGAGAGAAAGGAGGAAGAAGTAAACTGGACCTAAAAGGTTTACAAAGTTTTTTTTTTTTTTTTTTCGGTTTCAAGAAATTTTATTTTCATGTGCTTGTAGATTTAGGTTGCACGGGGGAAAGGAACAGATCGAGGTTCTCCAGAATGTCTGTGGCTTGTCGATCGAATAAAAACTCTCTGTCATCCGCATTGCATTTTTAAACTAGAAGAGTGAGTGAACTGCCAGAAAAAAAAAGAGAAGAAAAAAAAAAATTATGCAAACTATCCCTTATCCTGTAGAGAAAAAAAAAAAAAATTTTCAACCAAAAATGGTTGCAAATTGAAAAAAATTAGGGTAAATTTTTACATTTGGTTCGCACAGATTTTTTTTTTGTTGTGGCTTTTTTACTTGTTACCGTAGTAAATCACATGATATATGGCTTCAATCGTCCTTTCCTTTTTGATATGTCTAGTCAATTACAGGCCTCTTACTTAATAAAATTCTTGTAATTGACTAGTGCCTAAGCCACCCTTGACATGGGTGGCCGCATTTGAATGAGCATGTTGAAAGAATCATTCACAATGAAATCTACTTTTAATACATCCACAGATTCTAGAGATCAAGCTCTTTCAACTTAGCTTAGGAATAGGGGGAGTCGCAAATAATAGAATTTTGCATAATTGGAGCTTTAAGTAAAAAAAGACGTTTTTTTTTATAAAATTGCAACCAAAAATAGTCGGAATACAGGATAAGGGATAGGAGAACCAAGCTTTGCAGGATCTGTGCCTAGGCTTTGTCTCGATAAATTCTTGTGACTTCTATGGTTCCAATGATTCTTAAAGGGGGTGGAGGGCGAAGACCTTTCAACGTGTAATCTGCCCTGATTGTTTTTTGCTATGAAACCGTTTTTGAACGAAGGGAAAAATGCACCCCCCCCTGGCAAAATTAATTTTTCACTGTGATCATATTCCATCAGACATGAAAAGTCGTTTTTAATCAAAAGGAGTAGTTGCAGCTTGTTTCTATTTCGCAGTAATGGACCGAAAAAAAAAAAAAAAAAAAAAAAAAAAAAAGTATAGAAGACCATAGATTTAAAATAAAAGGAACATAAATGATAAAACACATTCTCCAAGCAGTAAAAGATACATACTTGGAAACAAAAACTTCTATCGGCAAGAAAAGGTGCGGAGATAAAACAATATTTGTGATAGCTATCAGTCCATTTTAAACATAACATTGCAACAAGAGACAACAATGTTTTCTACAGATGCTTACCCCACGAACCACATTTTATATCTTGACAGAGATAAGGAACGTAGTGAGTACTGGACAAGGTATCACTGACCTTTGGAACTACGAGCCAGAAGATATCAAGACTTCAGATCTACATTTGGGGCAGTATTTCGTCGTCGGGGCAAGTGCGTTGTTACCAAGTATTGAGCGCGCCAGCGTGGCAACCCAGACAACCAAACCTTACAACTTGGCTATCAAGCAAAAAGCAGCGTATCCGCCCACTCTCAAATACCGACATTGGATTGAGCAGTGGAAGGCAGCAGCAGTCTACAGCTCACAGTGTATTAGTGGCATCAGGGGGTAGCTCCCCTCCTTTTTATGGGAATGAGAAGCCCAGAGACAGCAAGACAGCAAGAGAATCCACATCGAGCATTTGTAGTTCACCTAGGTTTACCATAGTTTAGACAATTGTCTGATGCTAATCTAGCGTGACTGCTTCAGTGACGTCAAATAGGGCCAAAACTGTACTGTACTCGAATCAACTATTAAATAAATCCCTTTTTTTTTAGTAATCCTCACCTCCTCTCGACACTTGAGTACAGAAGCATATTTTAATTACCAGCCATGGACGGATCATTATATGATGACTTTGGAAACTACATTGGCCCCGATCTGTCCGATGAGGAGGAGGAGGAGGAAGAGGAGGAGTTGTTACAACAGCAACAACAAGGGCAACAGAATGACCAAAGTATGGATGTAGACGACGAAGACGAGGATCAGGAAATGCAGGAAACTAATGATAGGTCAAGCACAGCATTGTCGCGTCTTGGAGGTAAATAATCCGCTTTATAAGATGGCCCATAGCCATATATCTTAATTGATCTTTTTTTTTTTTTTTTTGTATTTTTTAATTTTTTTTTTTTCATTCTCAATTTATCTGACTCGTGTATCTCTTCTCGTTGATCTAGATATTGCTCATAATCAGATCGTCCTGCATGAGGATAAAAAATATTACCCAACAGCAGAGGAAGTTTATGGCGAGGATGTCGAGGCATTGGTTGAAGAGGAAGATACCCAACCATTGACTGAACCCATTATTCAGCCTATAAAATCCAAAAAGTTCCAACTCGAGGAAAAAGATCTGCCTTTGACCCGATTCCGTAAACAGTAAGCGGCGTCACCCTTTCGTATTCCATTGCGAAAAATAATTGTGCAACGCCATTTGTGTTCTCTAATCTAGTGTCGTCTTTTTTTATTTACTTATTACAGGTATATGTATGATCTTATGACCTTCCCTCCTCGCGTACGCAACGTTGCACTTGTGGGTCACCTTCATCATGGAAAGTCATCCATAATGGATATGCTTGTCAATGAGACACATGAGAAGAATCACAGTGTCGATGTTCCGGAATGTTATACAGATACACACCCACTGGAGAGGGCTCGTGGCGTCAGCATCAAGAGCATGCCTATGACTCTTGTCATGCAAGATACAAAAGATGTCTCATATTTACTCAATGTTATTGACACGCCAGGTAAAAATGAGATTAGGACTAAGTTTATTAGTCTATTACACGTGTATCGCTAGTACAGTCTTCCTGTCTGTAGGCTCTATATCGTGAAGGGATTTTTTTTTTCTTATTTTCCTCTTCATAATTTGTTATACGTTATATTCTTGTGTTTTTTTAGGTCATGTCGACTTTATTGATGAAGTATCGGCAGCATTGCGTATTTCAGATGGAGCAGTATTGGTTGTAGATGCTGTAGAGGGTGTTATGTGCAATACTGAACGTATCATTCGACACTGCATCCAGGAGAAAGTTGCACTCACCATGGTCGTCAACAAAGTTGATCGGCTCATTCTGGAATTAAAGCTTCCTCCCACGGATGCGTACTTTAAACTAAAGCATACAATCGAAGAAGTCAACACTATCATTTCACAAACTCCTGGTGGAGAGGGCATTAGACTTTCGCCCGAGCTTGGCAATGTCAGTTTTGGGTCCTCACAGATGGGCTGGTGTTTCACTCTCAAATCATTTGCCAAGCTCTACGCTGACTCTTATCGTAGGTTTATATACATTTTTATATATCTGTATATGACATGAATATGTGTGGAGCAATCAGCAAGTTAACTTTTTTTTTTTTTTTTTTTTTTTTTTTTTTTAACTCTCTCGAATATCAATTTGACAGCTGGAGTTGATGCAGACGGATTCGCGAAGCGTCTGTGGGGCGATGTGTACTTCAACAAAGAGACAAGGAAGTTTGGACGCAATGCTCCAGATTCAACTACAAAGCGCTCATTTGTTCACTTTATTTTAGAGCCTCTGTTTAAGATCTATGGTCAGGTTGTGGCAGAGGATGCAGCAACCCTCAAAAAAACACTTTCGAGTTTAAACATTTTCCTGAAACCGAAACAATATTCATTGGATGTGAAGCCAATTCTCAAACTAGTTCTTGACCAGTTCTTTGGACCACCAACTGGGTTTGTTGATATGATTTCACAGCACATCAAATCACCCGCAGAGAATGCGGCTCAAAAAGTTGAGCACATCTATACTGGACCCGTGGATGATGAGGCTGCTGTCGCTATGAAGGCATGTAACCCCAATGGACCATTGATGATTCACATTACTAAGCTCTACAACTCAGCAGATGGCGAAAGGTTTGAGGCCTTTGGTCGCGTCATGAGCGGCACTGTGCGCACGGGTCAGCGAGTCCGAGTTCTTGGAGAGGGGTATACGGTCGATGATGATGAAGACATGACTGTTCAGACGGTAGAGAGTGTGTCAATTTTTGAGTCGCGATACAGGATTGAAGCCCAATCTGTTGTAGCTGGTAATTGGGTTCTGCTGGGAGGAGTAGAACAGTCCATTACCAAGACAGCAACCATTACAAGTGCGGACCGCACAGAGGATTTGTTTATCTTTAGACCATTGCGCTTCATGACCTCGCCAGTCATGAAGATTGCCATTGAGCCAGTCAACCCGTCCGAATTACCCAAGATGTTAGAAGGTCTGAGAAACGTCAATAAGTCCTATCCGATTTTACAGACAAGGGTGGAAGAGAGTGGAGAACACATTATCCTTGCGCCAGGAGAACTGTATATGGACTCTGCGCTTCATGACCTGCGTAAGCTGTACTCGGAAATTGACTTGAAGGTAGCCGATCCTGTCGTCAGATTCTGTGAGACTGTACTAGAGACAAGTAGCCTCAAATGCTTTGCTGAGACACCCAACAAGAAGTAAGTTTTTTTTTTTTTTTTTTTTTTTCCGTTTTTCGACTGGTTGCACAGATTGCCATGATATGATGTCCTTTGAATTCTAACTGCATTGTCTTTTTTTTTTTTTTTTTTTCTTTATTTTGATTTACAGGAACAAATTAACCATGATTGCAGAGCCTCTAGAGAAAAAGATTGTTGATGATATTGAAGGATTGAAAGTATCAACAGAGTGGACAGCACGTCAACTTGGAAATTACTTTCAACAAAACTATGATTGGGATATTTTGGCGGCACGCAACATTTGGGCGTTTGGGCCAGATATGAATGGACCTAACATCTTGGTAGACGATACGTTGCCAAGTGAGGTTGATAAGACTCGCCTAAAGCAAGTCAAGGATAGTATTCGTCAAGGATTCCAATGGGGAACAAGAGAAGGGCCCCTGTGTGATGAACGTATGTATCGGAGCTTTTTTTTTTTTATTTTTTTTTTATGTGTTTATATTTTTTTATCAGCACGATTCATGCGTTCAAGAAAAAGGTGTGATCGCTAATTATATATATATATATTTCCCCATTCTTTTTTACGCAGCAATCAGAAGCGTCAAATTCCGAATCATTGGAGCAGACCTAGCAACAGAACCTATTTATCGAGGAAGTGGACAGATTATCCCTACAGCCCGTCGTGTGTGCTACTCTTCGTTCTTGATGGCAAGCCCAAGGTTGATGGAACCTGTATATACGGTGGAAGTGCAGGCGCCTGCGGACTGTGTTGCTGCAGTGTATACAGTTCTGGCACGTCGTCGTGGACATGTTTTGAAGGATATTCCCAAAGCAGGATCACCGTTGTACATTGTCCATGCAGTCATCCCTGTGATCGAATCATTTGGCTTTGAGACCGATCTCCGTACACACACGCAGGGTCAGGCTTTTGCTCAGCAAATGTTTGACCATTGGCAAAACGTGCCTGGCGATCCGTTGAACAAGAGCATTGTTCTGCGGCCGCTCGAGCCCAGTCCAATTCAGCATTTAGCCAGGGACTTTATGATCAAGACACGTAGACGTAAAGGTCTGAGTGAAGACGTCTCTGTCAACAAGTTCTTTGATCAGGACATGCTTCTCAACCTGGCACAACTTGACTCTGAAGGCTTCGGCTTTGGTTTGTAAGGAAGGTTTTCTTTTCATTTTCATTTCAACATTTTTTTTTTTTTTTTTTTTTTTTTATCCTCTCATTGTAGACTAGAGCGCTAAAATGGATGTAATGAAGATGGGACAACACAGATATTTACCATTCATGCGAAAAGAAAGGAAAAAAAAAAAAAAAAAAAAAAAAAAAGGGATTGCTATAATATTGATATGTTTTATGGCCTCATTTGAACAAACAAAAGAGAAAAATGAAGAATGCTAGTGACAATAGTAACGGTTATGACTATGACCATGACCATGACTTTGGCTCTAACTCTGACTCTGACTCTGACTGTACCAATGAGATCTAAGGCCTCTTTTTCTCAACAGTCCACTGCGAAGAAAAAGTTGGTCACCATTGTAGTTAGAAGAATGAAGGACAAGAGTGTAGGCCCCATCCGATCATAAAGCCATTCATTACTTTTTTTTTTTTTTTTTTTTTTCCCTCATACTCTGTTCCAAGATACAACATTTCATCAAAACTCTTTTTTGTCCTCTGGAAGGAAGAGGCGCAGGGAGAAGAAGAGAGATTTAATCCATAGGGATCATATAAACGTTCAAGTTAAGATGCTGATGAAGAAGCCCAATAGCGATAGTGTCTATCGTTTGGCGCCTTTACAGCCATCTATAGGATCTTTGTTGCATCATTGTTATTGCATCAATCCAGATCATGTGGACAACTAGAATGTTGTCAATGCAAAGCAAAAATAGCTGCGCAAAAAGAAAAAGAAAAAGAAAAAAAAAAAGAAAAGAGGGACAACCATCTATCCAAATTACTGTACAGTACATGTACTGCAAATGTATAACCCTTTATTCATTGGAGAATGAAAATAAACAATTGGATGAGGTAAACCTCATTGGGGCAAAACTATTGGACAACGGAAGAAAGCTGCGCCCAAGTTCGCAAAACTTGGATCCTCGCAACTCGCAAACGCATTTATTATTATATTTATATAAATATTTTTACGCCCCCGCCTTGCCTGCTCGCAAAAAAAAAAGAGAAAAAAAAAAAAAAAAAAAAAAAAAAAAAGCGCCATGCGATGCGCGCTTCATAATCTTTTCCCCGCATTAATCATTCATCTTCCTCTTCCTCTTCGTCTCACGTGGGGATGACCTTAATATAAATATTAACCTGTATTATATACACACAAACAACAGCCTTTGTATATATAATATACGAATGTATTAACAGTATAGATGTAGATATATATATATAAACAATTAACAAAAGCCCATTCTGCAATCACTTTTATTCTTCAAGTCAAGTAAAAAGTTGTGCGGCATAGAATTAATCGAAGGATAAATATATAAAAAATAAAAAAAAATAAAAATCGAGAAAACTATAGGTATGGCCATGCTATTAATCCGATCCTTCGATCTCGACACGATGTTCACTTTAATTACAACGTGACATGATCATAACACCAATGACAAGCAACAACAAACAGCAACAAACAGCAACAAACAGCAACAACAGACCGGGGGGCAGATCATCTCGGATCAATTGGAGGGCACTTTTGTTCTCTTTTCTTTCTCTTTTCTTTGCTTGCCAATAAAAGTTTTTTTTTATTTTTTTTTTACTGAACACTATCGATATAGCTAACCATGGAGGTCCACACTTTTTTTTTTCTCTTTCAAAAGTATGTATACAACAGAATGTCTTTGCTTCATTTTTGCTCTGAATATGTAAATGAAAGAAAGATTAGAATTGCTCATACTCAATGATTCAATATATATAACAAATCAATAAACGTATGTAGTCCAATTGATTGCTGCTGCTGTTGTTGTTAGGCGTAGTTTTGTGTATAATTAATGCTTGGCCCTGTCACCATTTAAGGTGTTTACACATCAATCACCCTTTTTTTTTTTTTTTTTTTTTTTTTTTCTGTTTCCTCATAAACAAATGACAAAGAAAGAAAGAAAAAAAAAAAGAAGAGAGAAGAGAGAAGAGAGAAGAGAAAAGAGAGAGGGAGAGAGAGAGAAAGAGAGAAAATGAAGGTCTGGCCCGATTAATGTTTTTCAAATGATCAAAAAAATTTTACATTTGCGCGATTTATGGTGCGAAAATGATTTATTTTTTCTTTTTTCTTTTTTTTTTTACTTGTCCATGGGTAACGTTTATATCTTGAACCACACAGGGGACAACAATAACAACAGCCTATGATCAATCTAAACAACAACAATAACAACAACATGGACAGAAAAGGACAAGATGGATGAACAACCATTGCATTTGATCCAAGGCTTTCCACGCTCAAGTAAAATATTGGATCGGTCAGCTGTCAGGAGGACAATCATCATAGGTTGTCCAAATCCTTTTTGTATATATGTATATATATATATATATATATAAACAATCATCAATAAACACAAGAAAGCTGTTTTGAATCTACACAAAAAAGTTATGGGAAACGTTCATGACCATATTTTTTTTTTTTTTATCAATAATATTCGGAAGCTGTAGAGCTGTAACATGGGAGACATGCACATGTACACAATCATCAACAAACACGCACAAACTCTTACTTATTAAAACTGTATGTTTGTATAGATATATATCTCAATATTAAAGAATACAGAAATGTATACATGTAGAACATGTTCATTTTATATACATGTATATATATATACAATAAGTTTTTCTTTTCTTTTCTTTTTCCTTCTTTCTTTCTTTTATCATTTCCGAGTTTTTCTATCTCTCAAGGACAGAGAAATGTATACATTTGTATACAAACATGCAGTCAGAATAAGGGACTGACTAATGCTTAATGCAATATGTGGATGTTCATCTTGACAAGAAAGACGAGAGCCGATGGATATAATATATAAAATTATAAACATGGCTGTGAGGATATAAATCTGTATACTTTTTTATCAACAAGGCTCCACTCCACATAGTCTCTACTCTATACACCACAAACACTCCCCACGTAAAGTGTACACAAAATCAAAAACCAAATCGCAACTCAGTGTTTGTGTCCATTTCTGGGCCCTGATTCTTTTCTTTTATTTTTTATTTTATTTTTTTTTGGTAGTTGCCTTTGAGCATGAACAACGATTAACGAGCTGGTTTTTTTTTTTTTTTTTTTTAAAAAAAAAAAAAAAAAAAAAAAAAAAAAGGGTATGGTGGAATGGTGGAACGAACATTCCTAAAGTCTTTATTATATTTTCTAAATGTACCATTTATCTTTTTGGATTTGACGCGAGGTAAATCTATAAACCAATGTTGATTTGTATAAATGTATATATATATTATTATGATACATATAAAGTATTTCCTACTGTAAAATAGTTCCGTAATATACAAATGTATAGTTGTGTACTGTGGCTGTTCCAAATCATTGATGCTGAATAAACAAAAAACAATAGCAGAAACGCGCAATGGTCCAGACGCCTTTTTTTTTTTTAAAAAAAAAAAAAAATTTCAACTCAGTCCAGGAAGGCTGGTCAGTCTGTTTACGAGAGTTCTGCATGGTCGTATAGATGAATCATGGTATAGATATATATACATGTATATATATATTATAAATGTCATGAAGGAAGGGGAAATCTTATGACTCTCATGGTTTAGATGTCAGGCACGTCATTCAGAAAAAAAAAAGGCCCTGTCACGATGCAAGGTCGAGCGGAGCCCAAAGAATTATCTCTCATAGATCTATATCTCTCTATCCTCCTCTTATTCTTTCATTCTCTCTGTCTCTTCCTTTCTCACACAATATACACTTTTGCCCTGGCTCTACTTGACTTTTTTTTTTTGTTTCTATTATCGAATTACAAGATCATTATCTCGTTACTACTTTATTTTATTTTATTTTAGTTTAGTTTAGTTAAGTTTCACTTGATGCTTTAATAAAGCTGTTGTTTATGCGTACAGATCCTTATTGTATATATATAAATATATATATATATATACAAAATATTTATATTTATTCATATTATAATGATAATGATAATGATCATGATCATGATCATGATCATGATCAATTGGCATGGCTTTCATGGTTACAATCGAGACAGGGCTTAATGTACTCAAGCTTGAGAACTAAAAAAAAAAAAAAAAAAAAAAAAAACAATGGGGTAAAGCAAAAGGCGAAAACTATGGTTTCGAGAGAATAAATGGGATAGAAGAGAACTAGAAGGACCAATTGCTTTCACATTTGCATACGTCTTGTATATACATATACATATGCATTTGTGTATATATATTTCCTCCGCCTCACCATCCACATACGAACGTTGGCATTACATTACAAATAATATTTACTAACAAAATAAAAAATGAAAAAAAAAAAGTGAGAAATGAAACTCTATCCTTTTCCTATCCTCTCCATCGATGTGCCTTCTGCTTTTCCTTTTCCTTTTTTTTTTTTTTTTTTTTTTTTTTTTTTTGTTTCTTTATATTTGGCTCTCAATCACAAATAAATGTTTATACATGTATATAATATATATATATTCAATAAGAATATGTATTAATTATTAAAAAAAAAAAACAATAACAAAAAGGAGTGAATGAGATTGCGAGTTTGCTTTGCATCGAACGTATTGTTGTCCAACAATAATTAACTTTAACTTTGCATTGCAATGCCGGAATGTCTATCCGATATTTTTTCTTTTGACAAATGCTTACATTTATATATACTTTATGGCCTTTGTCTCAATTTCACGTTCGCGGCATATACACATAAACATATACACACACACTCTCTCTCTCTGCCTTGCCTTTCTTTCTCCTTTCTCCTCTCTCCTTTCTCTTTTCTCTTTTCTATTTTCTCTTTTCTCTTTCCTTTTCTGATACATCACACAAGTGGAGAAGGAGGAACAAGGATTTCGTCAACATTTATGCATTGTTGGTCAGGGCTTCTGTGGATAATTTTTTTTTTTTTTTTTTTTTTTTTGCCTCCTTGACGAGTACCCGTCTGGCACATCTTGGACACAGAAAGATATGTAAATATTTTCTGCCCTGGCCGCATTATGCGCCTTCCGCACTGCACGTGCATTAATTATCCCCCCCCCTCCTCCCCCCAAAATCGTATTTACGCGTACACAAACTAAAATGATAACGGTTGTTCCTGGGAAAAAAAAAAAAAAAAAAAAAAAAAAAAACTATGCGAGGACACAAATGACACAGACAGCTCCTTAAACTGATCAAGGGATACACAATCTGACTTCTTTTACTATTCTAGAGTGATCAAGCGAGGATGCCCAGAGAGAAAAAAAAAAAAAAAAAAAAAAAAAAAGTTCGTCCAACGCATCATCATCACCTATCACCGTTGTCTGTTTTTTTTCCTTTTCCTTTTCCTTTTCCTTTTCTTTTTTTCTTTTATCTATATCTTTCCCTATCTTTTGTATTTCCCCTTCGAGATATATACAATCAAGTCTTCTTTTTCTCACTTTACTTTTTAGCTGTGTATTTGGAAGGATTGATTATTAGGACTTTGGTCTTTTGAAAACAAGTTGAGACATTAAAGCATTGAGGAGCAATCATATGATATTTAGTATAAAGAAAAAAGAAAAAAAAAACAAAACAAAACAAAAAACAACAACAACAACAACAACAACAAAATATTGGTTAGAATCTAGGAAGGACTCTTACTGTCGTTGTTGGTTTTTTTATTTTTTTTTTATTTTTATTTTTTTTCCTTTTCCTTTGATCAAGGCGCTTAGATTCTTTTTACTTGCCAAAAAATACATCCAATCTAGTTCTTATCTTTTGAGCGTGTTATATATTTTTATGAATATATATATATAAAATACATTCATGAGTCTCTGGCATTGATAGATAAATAGATATATAGATACATATATATCTTCTCGTCATTTTCACTAGAAAAAATCAATAAATATTATATACAATAATATATATTTGTATACATATAATAAAGTGTTTGTGTACAAGATAGAAATGTATATGTATATGCATATGTATATGTATATGCATATGTATATGTATATGCATATGTATATGTATGTGTATGTGTATGTGTATTACACATCATTTTCTTAATGTCTTTAATGCATGTTGGGACCGTGGGATAAAAAAAATCCCATTCATGAATATCTATTGGATAAACATTTCGACAAATCAAAATAGAAAACGGCAAAAAGTCAAAAAAACAGTATACATATAATAACAATAATGCATTAATGGACCCTAAGTCAGGGACCAAGGAACAAAGGAGCAAGGGACCAAAGGAGGGGGAGCAAGGGGGTGGGGACAAGTAATGTGGGCAATACTTTAATCATAATTATGCTATTTTTTATTTTTTATTTTTTATTTTTCCTATTCACAAGCTTTGCTTTAGTAATAGTAATAGTAATAGTAATAGTAATAGTAATAGTAATAGTAATAGTAATAGTAATAGTAATAGTAATAGTAACAGTAATATATACTAATAATCTATCATCTTCTCGTTCGTGTGAATTATTACGCGTTAGCCTTTCCTCTCCCCCCTCCCCCCTTTCATCTCTTTACTGCCCAAACGGGAAGAGGCTATTTCAATATTACGATATTTTCACTAGGTACAAAGTAAAGTATACATTCAACTTGAACTTCACTCTGCTCATGAACAAGTTGCACATGTAAGCAAAGCGGAGAGAATACAGAAGAGCCAATTAAGCCAAAGCAAATAAGGAGGAAAAGAAAGAAAGAAAAAAAGAAAAGAAAAGAAAAAAAAAAAAAACAATGGAAAGAAAAGAAAGAAAGAGGCAAAAGCTCTTGATGAAAGAATAGAAAAGAAAGTTGATTAGTGCCGGTATATATCAATGCATTTCGTATTTTTCTTTCGGTCAAACGTTTAGCATAAAAAAGACCTCCATACCTACCTACCCTACCTACCTACCTACCAACGTATATATATACCGCATTCTTATTATTTTCCCTCCTATTCCGTAATAGAACATGAACGCGACTCTCACATGCACACATGCATTAACACATATCAACACGATTCTTCGCTTTCCATTTTATTATTTATTATTATTGTTATTATTATTATCATTATCATCATCATTATTATTTTATTTCCTTTCATTAATGTCTTGTCTCTAATCTGCATACCTTCTACCTTCGGGGATTCATCTTTATCAAAACAAACTGAGCATATTCACACGGTTTTATGAAGCTAGGGAAAAAAAAAAAAAAATAAAAGAGCCAAACAAAAGGGGCATAGTCCAACAGCCTTTTTTTTTTTTTTTTTTTTTTTCCCCCTTTTTATCTGGACGCTTCATCTTCCGACAGTTAATGCGTAGACAAAACGTGCAGACGTTAGGCTGGAAATGGGATTATGCAGTACATACTTCTTGTCGGACTAAATGATGAATCAAGAGAGTGAGAGAGAGAGAAGGATAGGAGGGAATGAGAGCCATGCGGTGCCATGCCATGCCAAAATCAGCGTAACCTTGGGGTCTTGGGCCAACGATCCATTCAGTGAAATTCTTCATAACGTATCCCCTATTATTTGAATTACACATGTATATATTTATATGAGATGTTTAATGGATATAAATATATATATAAATCTACCAATGCAATGTATATATGTATATATATATATATATATGTATAATATATATATTATATATATACATAAATATACATCAGACATCGGACATCGGATAACAAATGCGATGTGCTCAATATATATATATGTAACATGTAACGAACGGAAAGGAAGGGGTCCTATTCCTATTCTCTGGAATTACACAAATCCGAATTGTGGCAAGATTCTTAGAAGTATCTTTTTTTTTAATGGAACACACACATTTGTATATATATACTCAGATATACATGTACTCAATGCGGAGGGTTCGGACGCGAATATGATGCGTTTATGCAGTTACGCACATGCAAAGGAGGAAGATGTATTTATATATATATATACAGTATATACATTGTATGAATAGTATACAGCATAATTAGTGGAATAAGTAACAAAAAAAAAAAAAAAAAAAAAAAAAGACATTGATCCCTTTTGCAACGCTGTAGACGCCCTAAATGTACACTGTTGTCATAAACTGTTATTTTTACATTTTTTTTTTAAACCAATGCGTAAGCTAAGAGGCATGGTAGAGAAATATATAAATATATAAATTATATATATAAAAAAAAAAAAAAACTTACGGCATTGTAGGTGCATGTGAATATTTTTAATTCCTCTTTAATGAAAAACCCTTTTTGCATAAATGGTGAGAGAGTCAATAGACTATAACATTTAGACCCTTGCTTTTGCAGTAGCCTGGGGTTTTTTTAGATGTTCCTGTAAAAAAAAATAAAAAAAATAAAAAAAATAAAAAAGATTTGCAATGCTTCTTGTCCAGGGCGTAATGAAAATCCGGACCATTCATCACACGACACCAAGGCACGTTATTGAAGTCATAGCACTTGCATATGTGTATATATATATATATGTTTATACTCAATACATAATATATATATATATATATATTTATACATATCAGAACTCATGTAAAAGTAAGCGTGAGCAAGAGATAAAGAGAGAGAGAGAGAGAGAGAGAGAGAGAGAAATGTATAAATGTATATATGCCAATGCCATCGTCATTCTCAACCTCCAACTCACTTCTATACAACTCTTGCAAAGCAAAAAACCCAATTGTTTATATACAATTATATTTTATATAAATATACAATACATTTGATATGGTATTACACATTAATATTTATCTTTCGGGCCATGGAAAAATAATGATCGAGACTTTTTTTTTTTTTTTTTTTTTTTTTTTTCAAATGAAGTAGGATAAAAAAATAAAAAAAAAAAAAAAAAAAAAAAAAAAGGGCTCAAAAAGAAATAGCCAAATGGAGATATTTTATCTCTGAGGTAATCTACAGATTTTACTCTAGGCACTATAGGACCCACTATATGGAACAAAACAACATTTTATATTTACGGCCAAAGCGTAAAAAGCATGATGGCGTGAGCAAAAAAAAAAATAATTTAAAGGTCTAAACTCGTTCGCTTGATCAAGGAATTTGTTTCGGTGTTTTTCTTGGTAATCTTGGTCATGACATTTAGCAATCATATATAGAATCCATATACGAATGGAATGTGGGAGAAAGACAGAATAAGAGATAATAAATAATAAAGTAGTATAGGATATAGATGAGGACAAAGAGGAAAGACCTTCCACAGGTACAACGAATATGATATGTATAAATGTATATACATTGTTAGAGTATGGGAACAGTAAAACGATGAATATGGCTTTTGATATGGATGATGAAAGGACAATGGACGAATGAAGGTTTAAGGCGCGTGGATAAATTTCATCCATTCTCGTTGGGCTTTTTTTATTTTATTTTATTTATTTGAATTTAGTCAGATAGAGAGAGGGGAGGGATCGTCAATCAAAGATGAATGTTCATTATTGCACGACATGGGACAGGAATGAGCAAAGTGAGTTGACTATGAAATCCTAAGCCTATTGTCCTTTCTCTCCAAAGCACATTTACAGTTATAGTTGCTCTCTTGGGCTTTTAAAAAAAAAAAAAAAAAAAAAAAAAAAAAAAATTGAAGCACCCTAATGCTCTTAGCAAGATAACCGGTTTAGCGTTTGACAGTATATATATTTGAATATAATACGTGATTGATGTGTATAGATGTTATATATTTGTATTCAAATAAATAAAAAGCATACATTATTGTATTCATTCATTTGTTCATATTCAAATATACAAACAGGCATAAAATGGAATGGAGAAGGGTGCAGAAAGGGACAAACAGGGTAGAGTATGAAGAGCAAAAAAGAGCGAAGAGCAGGGCAAACAGTTGTTTATTTGTTTTGTCTCTTTTTTGTCTTTGCTTGTTTGTTTCTCGTCTTGCTGTACAGTAAAGTTGTTGTATAACCAAGGCTCGAATCCCTTTTTTTTTTTTTTTTTTTTTTCTGCAAGGCTAGACACTAGACACCCTTACCTCCACGCCCTACACCATGCGATGCAGGTGCACTGTTTGATTGAAAATGTATTCAAACGATTCATTTCTCTGTATGACTAAATGTTTTATGGACGGATGAATTGTTGTTTAGTCATTTTCCTATCTTCTTTCTTCTTAAACAACCCTTCAAGTGTTAACCTTGATGATGACAACTTGGGCCCACTTTTATTTTTTTTTTCCCTGCAACAACATTTGAAGCAAACCAAGAAGTCCTCTTTCATTTTGCACGCAAGGCAAGGCAAGGCAAGGCAAGGCAAGGCAAGGCAAGGGAAAATAAAAAATAAAATAAAATAAAAAATATTAAAAACAAAAAAACGGTCGGAGTAAGAGAAAGGGTGGAGAGAATTGCGCTCATTTAAAACCGTCAAAGCCATCGCAGATTTCTTTTTTGCTCCCCCATTTTTCCCTTCTTTTCCTTCTTTTCCTTTCTTCTACTCTCTATTGTTCACATCTTTGACCTTTCTTGAAGTCTTTGTCACTGGGTCTTTCTTTCTTTTTCTCTTTTTCATTCTCTTTTGTTTTTGTTTTTAACCATTCTTCAATTTCATCCGCCGTGTCCTTTCCCCATACATACACACATACACCATACACATTTATATATTTATACATTTACACACGCCATTACCAACTCAAACACCAATCCAATCTCACAGTGAGACATTTGACAGAGATTCTTACTCCCCGTCATCATCCTCACTATTTTTTTTTATTTGCAACATCAATCTTCTCTCCGTTCTTCACTGACACAGTTGTCCAACAACCAGCAACCTGGTAAGCAAGATTTTTTTCCAGTTCATCTTCAACAGAGAGGAACCCTTTCATCGCCATTACAGCCACAACCATCCAACTATATCTCTATTTCCATCTCCATCTCCACTCCCATCTCTATCGCTATCATTATCGTCGTCACCTCCCCATCCACATTATCATTATCATCAATGAATCAGATCATTATCTTTTCTTTTTCCTTTCTCATTCGACTATTCCACAATCCCTTATACACATTTTGCTTTCTTATTACTTCCCTTCTGTCGTCAAAGCTCTTCAATACAAGTAGTTTGCATACATTGTTTGCGCATGTTTCAATTTGAAAGGGAAGGGCAATTGTTTCTGCAACAATAGAGCTGTTCAGGGAAATGACCCACGTTGGCACCAGCGGAGATTTTTATGTCATTTTGTCTGAGATTTTCGATTTCCCAGGGGGGAGGCGGAGAAGGGCCCCGATAGTTGGGTCAGGAGTGGAGATGGTGGGTGGGGAAAGTGAAGGATGTTTTACTTTTATTTTTTATTTTTCTTGACATCACTCTTTTCTATCAGTTTTTTTTGCCAACAACAACAATAACAACAACAACACGTGCATTCACAGCCATGGTGATACTTGTTAGTCTTTTTATTATAATTATTATTATCTTTGTCAAACGTGAATGGTTTTTTTTTTTTTTTTTTTTTTATCCCATTCATTGAGACATTTCGGATGATTGTAATGACTGACAGGATTGCGTCGAATGTTGTTTAAAAAGGGGACTAGGGATGGTCACACCTATGGTGTCAGCAAAAGGGTCGATTGTTGTCACACTGCCACCTTGTTATGAGTTACACTTGCTTTCGGGCTTAATAATCCGCGATGGGGGGGAGGGGAGAGGGGAAGAATGTTTTTTTTTTTTATCATATTAACTTTTTTTTTTTTTTTTTTTTTTTTTTCTGTTATTATCCGCTAGGGTCTGACTTTTGTGAGAGAGTGACGGTAATCAAAGACAGATCCAATAGAAACCAGCAATCGACGGGCAAACGTCCAGTTTAAAGAAAAAGAAAAAGAAAAAAAAAAAAAAGGTTTGTGCATTTCAAACGATCATCTCCCTAGACTTGACCCTTTTTTCTTCCCCTTCCCTTCCCTTCTCTTCCCCCACCTTCTTCCATCCTATACCTTCTCCTCCACTTTCTCTTTCTCTCTCTCTCTCTCTCTCTATATATATTTGATGATCACGCTGGTGACACTACGATAGTTGGAGGTGTGTTTTCTTCAGCTGGGCTCAATGTTGTTGTGATATGCAACATTGAACCTCGACTTTGGTTGAATACCTTGTTATTATTATTATTTTATTATTTTTATTTCCTAGTTGCATGTTGTTAATAGAACACAAAAAATGTGTATTCCTTGCACATGGATCGTTTTTTTTTTTTTGTTTATTTGTTTCTTTTTCTGCTTTGCTTTTTTTTTTTCTCCTTGGTTACGGTCTGCGTTCCTCCACTCAGGCTTTGGTTTGTGAGCCTTTTGAGTCTATCTTTTTTTTACTACTGTTAAAGACGGGCGTAAATCGTTTATTCATTTTATGCATTTCTATGTTTATATATATTATCTATCAACATTTGTTGATATTTTATTATTTTATTATTACTATTATTATTATATATTATTATTTTCTACTTGATCGTTTATCTCATGTGTTTTTGTTGTTGTTGTTGTTGTTGTTGCATTGTTTAAACTTGGACCATCCCAACCCTGCGTGTGTGTAGCGCCCCTGTGTTGACAACTCGTGTTTCTGTTGGTTAATCAGGGTCTGTGTCCAACCAAAGATATCCAATCAATTCGAAGACCTTGCACGTCAAGAAAGATGGATGGATGGATGGAAGGATGGAAAGATGGGCCAGTTTACTGACGGAGAAAAAAAAAAAAAAAAAAAAAAAAAAAAAAGGAAAGAAGAGAGCAAAGCAAAGCAAAGCAAAGCAAAGCAAAAAAAAAAAAAAAAAAAAAAAAACATGTCAGATATCAGACATCAGACATCAGACATCAGACATTAAACATGGCAATGTGTATGTTTGTGTAATGGTTGAAAGGGATGGTTCAAGCCTGTATTAAAGGAGGATTAGGCCCTGAATCAATTGACTAATGAATGAATGTGAGGAATGAATAGAGGCCCTGAGTTTAGACCCACTTTTTTTTTTTTTTTTTTTTGTCCGGCTCTTCCTTTTTATCCATATCTCTCAGACTAAGTGCAACAGGACTACGCTAAGTGTGTTGAAATAAGACATATCCATAACCATCCCTAGCATTGCATTGCATCGCATTTTGAAAGGGTCAAATTCATCTTAATCCCATTTAGTTTATCTCTCTCTTTTATCCACATACACTCTTATACATAAACACAGTTGCTTTTTTACCTTTTTGGCCTGCCCAGCCCCCTTCCCATTCTTTTGCCCTCAGTTTAGTATGGCTACAGTCTGTGTTGTGCATGAGGAACTTTTTATGCAAAAAAAAAAAAAAAAAAAAAAAAAAATGTCTTTATATTTTGCCAGAAAGCCATCTGTTTTGGCGCGAACCATCTCGGACAAGGCATTTTTATTTACAATTGCACCCTGCTTTTCCTTTGCTTTTCTTTTCTTTTCTTTTTTTTTTTTCTTGTGCTCATTTCCGTTGGTGTGTGTCCGTTCCACAGGATGGCGCGTGGCTTTCAGGGAAGAAGACTTGAAGATCCCTTTTTCCATTCTCTTCCCTCTCTTCCCTTTCTTCCCTCTATCCCTCTTTCTCCTTTCTTTCTTTCTTTCTTTTTTTTCTTTTCTGTCTGCTTTGACCTTCTTCTTTTTTATGCTTCTTTCCTTTCCTCCCCTTACACTCACACAAAAACAATAGAAGGAAGCTTGTCCCATTCGCTCTAACCATTTGTATCTTTAATCTACTGTGAAATAGATATCAGAGGTACCAGCTTCTTGCAGCTGTAGAAGAAGAAAAAGAAAAAAAAAAAAAAAAAAAAAGAAAAGAAAAAAGGTACATTGTGTGTGGTGCAGATTACTCAAATCTCTCTTTTTGGTCTGGCCCGGTCCTGTTTACTCCAGTTTTATTCTTCTATTCTTCCTTATTGGCCTTCATTGTGTATATACCCTGTTATTCATGTACCTCCTAAAAAAGGCAGATCCCTTTTCTTGTACACTCTCAGTTGTATCCTTCAAAAAAAAAAAAACCTGTAACCTGAAATAATTTTTATTTCCTTGCGAAGGACAGTTGAAGGAAGGGAAGGGGACCTACACTTTATTGCTGTTGAAGATAGCTAACCTACCAAGCAATTATCTTTTCTTTTTCTTTTTTCTTTTTATTTGCTTATACATATTGCTCTTCTTTTGTGTTTCATCCATCCTCTTCTCTTCTGGGTCCTTTACTCTTTGTCTCAATCCTCTTTCACTTTTTTTTTTTTTTTTTTTTTTCCTTTTTTCCGATCTTAATCTAATTTTGGATTTTAGACGTGTTTTTTTATTTTTTGGTTCCTGCATCGTGGGTAAAAAAAAAAAAAAAAAAAAAAATCTTTTTCCTGCATTTCTCTTTTGAACACCAACGACGTATTAGTGTTTGATATTGTAATGGGCGTCCAACCGTTTATTCATTGCTACACACATCACACACACACACCCCAAAAATAACATCAGAGAGAACATTCACATTAAATGAACCAGAAAAGCTAATTGTGTGTGAAAGAGAAAAGAGAGAAAGAGAGAAAGGAAAAAAAAAAAAAAAAAAAAAAAAAAAGAAAAAAGAAAAGAGAGCTTTATGCTATGAATCGTGGATGGTACAAGGAAAGAGATGCATGCAGGTTATCAATAATTTTGCTTATAATGTTCGAGTCTGTCTAGCAAAGTTGGTAGTTTGTGAAAGAGAGAGAGAGACAGAGAGAGCTCTTTTGTGGCTCGCCCCCCCTTACCCTTGCGGTTTTTTTTTTTACTCTTTGTTCGCTCTCATACCCCTCCTTCTCTTTTCCTAGATTTTTTATAGTACAATCTCATCTGGACATTGTTGCCCTGCTCTATATTGTTCTATCTCCTGGCGAAACCACGTTTTCCTTTGCTTTGCCTTTGCTTTATACATATACATTTATACATATTGCTCAAGACCTACAATGTCGTTAATATTCTTTACTCCTTTTTTTTATTTTTTTTTTTTATACAAGTTTTCGTGATGATTGCTCATCTGTAAAGCAGATGGAGGTGTTGTGACATTGTTACGAGATTGTTACATCTCAAGGGATCAATTGAATGAAAAAAAAAGGAGACAGAACAACATTGACGCAAGGGAATATGTGGTCTGGCCTGGTCAGGCACGTATCTTCAAAGACGTTGGGCTTTTTCGAGCTTCTATCCTATGGGCGAAAAAAAAAAAAAACTCGAGGGGCATTTTTTTTTATGCGTGGTATGCCCTCCATGTGTGTGCGTTCGATGATGAAGTGCATACGCATCTATGCATGCGAGAAAAAGGGACAAAGGGTTTATTCTTTTTTTTTTTTTTTTTTTTTTTTTTTTTTGGTTGTTAGTGTTCGTTGTTGTAACCATTGCGAGTGTTCGTGGAAAGAGAATATATGTTTTTTGCACTGTCCCCCTTCGTCTATTTGCATATCTATGCTCTTTATTTGTTCTTGAACAAGTGCCTGCATTTGTCTTTGCCCAAACTGTTCAATCGTCCTGGGTTGTGGGCTTCTCGTTGGGAGGAGAGGGTCATGGCGGAAGGGGCCATTTGTTGACCCCCCCCCTTCTCCTTCCCTTTCCCTCTCTTCTCCTGCCTTGTGTTCTGCATATCTATCCTTCACATTGTTTGTTCTTCCTTTCGTTCTTTCCTCTCTTTCTCACCTGACGTCCAAAGTAGGATCTACACGCAAATGATAGCCCACTAACCACTGATCTTCTTTATCTTCTTTTTCCTTCTTTTTCTTTTTTTTTCTGTTTCCCTCTTCATTTTTATTATTCTTATATTTTTTTAGGTTGATCAGGACGATCCCCGTATTTAAAGACCCTTTTTTTTTTTTTTTTTTTTTCTTTCTTTGTTCTTCTTTTTTCCTTCTTTGTACAATCACCAAACAGTCGATTACAATCCACTTCAATTCCAACGGCCTCTTTCCAACCCTTCACTCGCTCTCTGACCTCCTCCCCCCTCCCCTGACCCTCAGTTCCCTTTCTCTGCCTTGTATGCTCTCGTCTTTCATACCTTTACCTCCACCTCCTTTTGCTCTAGTCTATTTTACTTCTCTCGCCACCGACGACTGCGCTTCTCTTGAATAGGATCTGAGCACGTTCACTCATCCGCTTTATTTATTTTCATCCATCCTCACTAGTCTCTCTTTCAGCCCCACCACCGTTTCTTAAGAGACCCTTGGTTGGTTTTATCATCTTTTCTTCCCACTACTCACAATTAGCTCTAAACTTGAACCCAAAACCTGATCCTGGATCCCTTTTTTTTTTCTTCTCTTCATTTATTGCTCGTGCATCGTCCCTTTTTTTTTTTTTTTTTTTTTTTTTTTGGTTTTTTTTCTTTTCTTACTATATATATTTTTTCCCTCTTTCGTTCTCGCTGCTCCTTTTTCGATAACACAGAATAAGAGCAGATTCATTCATACCATCCCCCCATCTAGTGTATGAACGTGTACGCCCTCGATTCGACAATAGCCTGATAGAACTGTATAAATACCCGGACCATTCTTTGAGCCATGTCCACTACTACTTCTAGCTACCCATCACAATTGTACCACCAGTCACTCTATACGCTGCCTACATCTGACCAGCCCACATCATCGCCCTATACTCCACCCCGCATCCCACCTCCGCTCGCCCGTCCAGAATCACAGCCACCACAGCTGCATCCGCCATCTTCACCATCCTTCTTGCGTAAGGATTACTATAGCGGGAAGACTCAACCTTCCTTGAACGAAGAGCGCCACCCCCAATCTCACCCTCACTCTTACAGACCTCACCACTCTCATCCCTCCTATCCATCCGCAGAGCCACCTTCACCCTCGATGACAGATTCGGCTATCAATCAACAGTCGAAGCGACTCGCTGGATTGTCAATCACCAATTCGTCTGGAAATAAAGTCAGCATCCTTAACGACAGCCCTCAGGAGGACAAAGCTTCCATTTCTACACATGAGCGTGACTATGACGTAACTCGACCCCCATCAGAGTCACAACCCATGGTGGGTGGTCATCCAGAGCATGGTTTACCACCCCTTCGCTCCCCACGGTCACCCTATCTTCGAGACCGACATAACAGCCGTGGTGATTACTTCTCCGAAGATCGCAGCCGGGGAGGAGAGCCATACTATCCATCATCCAATCATCCTCACCCTTCTCCCTCACATTATCAGCATCCACATCTTTCGCGAGACAGCAGTAGCAGCAGTCTTGGAAGCAAAGCCCATCGATATCGATCAGAGAGTTATGAAGCCGGTCGGTCAACATCCCTTACCAACGCTGCTACCCCCTTCCGTTCTGGGTTTGATTTAGCAGCCTCAGAGGCTGCAGCAAACTCTCAGAGGAGTCGAAGTCTTAGTAGTGGCGCTCAGCTCTACCCATATCGACCCATTGGTGGTGGTAGCGGCGGTAGTAGCGGTAGTAACCACAGTGGGGCCGGTGGCAATGGTAATGGTAACGGTAACGGTAACGGTAACGGTAACGGTAATGGCATGCCTTCACCCTCCATGTACGGCCCCCAAGGTGCATCATCGATTCCATACTTTATGCGTGCCTTTTCCGAGGATAATGCATCAGATGAACATGAAGCTGCATATCGTGGAATGATCAATCATTCTGGCTTGCCCGAGGGAGTTTTGGCTGGTCCAAGCTTTTCCAAACGTAAATACTCATGTACACATCCAGGATGCAACAAGCGTTTCACTACAAGGTAAACAAATGGGATTCTCCTTTTATTTTTATTTTTTTTATATTTTTTTTTTTTTATCATCATCATTGTTATTATTATTACTATACTATTACTATTACTATTACTATTACTATTACTACTATTTAATACCCTTTTGTGTTGATGAGCTTGTACGCAATCAACAATCCCATCACAACTTGTTCTGATCACACCTTGACAGAAAATAAGAAAAGTGAAGGGACATTCTCTTGATGCAAATCGCCGCTAACACTTTATTTGTATCACAAACATCTATACAACTTTTTCTTTTGTAGTGGACATCTTGCTCGACACAATCGCATTCACACAGGAGAGCGCAACTTTGCATGCTTAATGCCAGGGTGCCCCAGCAAGTTCTCAAGACAGGACAATATGATGCAACATTATCGCACTCATATCTCACCCAAGTCTCGGCGTGGAGCTGCCACATCAACAACTGCCACATCAAAGAAGCAAGATCAACAGGATGAAAATGGTGAAATTGATGAGACTGATGTGGCCAATGCAGAGGAGCGTTCTCCTGCGCTGGGAACACCAACGACAACATCGCTCACCCCTCCAGCTGCAGCCGCAGGGCCTTCACCCACATATCAGGGTTCTAGACACAGCTCACCCCCTCGTCATTACCCTCCAGAACATCACCAGCATCATCAACAACAGCAGCAGTCCGAGGATATGGACTATGACGAGCCCATGACGGATCGCACACGTCCTTCGGGTCAGCAGTCATCATCGCACCATTACCATCAGCACAATAACAGCAACCATCACTTGTCACCGACGTCAGCACGCGATCCTAAACAGCAAGATAGGAACTCGAGTCATGGAGAGTACCGACAATGGCCAACTCCAGCATCGCCTACATCGCCGATGGCACAGCCCGTGGAGCGAATGGAGGATGTGGTGTCCTCACCTCGTGACCAACAGATGTACTACTACCGACAACAGCAACAGTATGAGCAACAATATCAACATCGTCAACTGCAGAAGCAACAACAGCAGCGGGCTGCTAACCATGCATCAGCTTATTACCATGCAGCGGCCGCACATGTGAACCAGAGCAGTGGCAGCATAAATAGTAGCAGTAGTAATCATCATCATCATCATCATCAGCAGCAGCAGCATCATCAGCATCAGCATCAGCATCAGCACCACCAGAGCCATCCTAGCCACCATCAACATCAAAGTCATCAGCATCATAGTAATAGTGCACCATCTTCATCCGAGTTGCATCCACATGCATATTCGTACCCTCATTCGCACATGGCTGCAGGACACCATGGCTCTTCTTCTTCTTCTTCTTCGGGTAACCGGGCCTTTAACCGGAGCATGACCATGAATGACACGACACCTCCTTCGCCTCAGTCGACTCCTGTCACGCCTACGAAGTATCGATTTGATCCGATTCAAGATTGTCTTCAACAAGAGCGACGACAGCGTGAAGAGGCGACTCTTTAAAGACAAAAAAAAAAAAAAAAAAACCCTCGACAAACAAAACAAATGATAAATAAACAATTCTCCTTTGAATCTTTTTTCTTTTCTTTTTATTTATTTATTTATTTTTTTTTTTCATAGTAATGACCTCAAATATTTTCATCTTTCGCTGTGTATGATTTTTTTTCTTTTCTTCTTTTATTCCTTTACTCCCTACTCTCTCTCTCTCCTCTCTCTCTCTCTCTCTCTCTCTTTCTCTTTCTCTTTTTCAAAGTTTGTTTTTATTATTATTATTACTATTATTATTATTATTCATTTTCGTTAGCTCAAGTCTTTATTTAAAAAATAAAATAAAATAAAAAATAAAAAAAAAAAGTCTATTTCCTATCTCACATGTTCATTTAAAGTTTCTAAACTTTTTTTTTTATCTTTTAGAAAAAAAGAAAGCCATTATATTCCCTAAAATAGAAGTGTGGGTTAATGTGATTATAGTTATGCATACTCTTTTTAGAACACTGCTTTTTCTTTATTACTTTGAAAACTCTTTTTTCTTTTCTTTTGACGATCAATGCCCCTTTTTTTTTTTTAATTAGTTAATAACTCTTTTTTTTTATTTTTTAAAATTAGTTAATTTTAGTTAGTATAGAACTCTTTTTTTTCTTTCAACAAATAAGAAACTAAATAAAATTGAGGGTGGGTAACGAGAGAAAGAATGCGGAAAAATTAAAAAAAATTAAAAAAAAGGAGTTTGAACTTGGCAATGGAGATTCGCTTAATGAGAAGAATAGGGTTTACTTATCATGGATTGTATATAAAACAAAATTGCCGGCAGCACAGCAGCGGAAGCAGATTGCCAATGCTCTTGATTTGTTCAACATTGTAAAAAAAAAAAACTTTGAAGGTACACATGTAACATGGAACGTATATATAAATGTAACATGTAACGATATAACATGTAATTAATTTTTGTATACAACAAAAGCAGCCTATTTTTTTTTTTATTATTTTTTTTTTTTTGCTGGCTCAGATCGATAGAACGAACGACTGTACATGTACTGTACTGTCTGACTTTGGTTCACAATAGGATTGTCCTTTTTTCTTTTTTCTTTTTTCTTTTTTCTTTTTACTCTTACCCTTCCAAAGATTGATCAGGAATCTATCCTGTTAAAAAGTAGGGAAATATATTTATATGTAGATGGATGGTTAAACCATTGCCTTGATTGATCTGGTTTTATACTCTGCATTCCAAGCAAAGTATCGATTACTTTTGACGTTGGTTGTAAGATAATCAATAAGTGATGGCCCAGGTTTTATACATTTATATATATAATATAACAAACACATACCGAATGTTTGGTTCATCTATACTTTCCAATGATCCAAAACAGCATATCTCGTTTGTAAAAACGGTTGACGATTCTGTTGCACTTGTTTTTTTTTTTTTTTTTTTTTTTTTTTTTTTCCTTCCCTTCGAGCTGTTGTAAAGTTAAATAAATGTCCCCTACATGCAAGTCCTGCATGCAGTGCTTTCCTATGAATAGCCTGTTTGGGGGAAAAGGGGGGGGCGCCTTGACCTTGATGTTTATGAACCTCCTTGCATAAAATGGCGTTAAGCCTTCGGAAAATCTTGATGCTGTGCTTCCTCACTATTGAACCCCCCCTTTCCCCTCTTTCTCCCTTGCATGCCCAAGGCATTTAGATCTTTTATTTATTTATCTATTTATTTATTTTTTTTACCGTTGATGAAAGACGCGCTCTGTAAGGAAAAAAGAAAAAAAAAAATAAAAAAATAAAAAGTTCTCAGTTTTATGTCGTTTAACATCTTTTATTCTTTTTTAACCAACCAATCAACACTTTGGCTCGCTTTGCTTTGCTTTGCTTTGCTTTGCTTTGCTTTGCTTTGCTTTGCTTTGCTTTGCTTTGCTTTGCTTTGCTTTGCTTTGCTTAAAAAAAAAAAAAAAAAAAAAAAAGAAACCAACCATGCATGACCTCCATTATTTCTAACCAGAGCCTCATGCTTGTCGAAAGAAACACGACATTTTTGTTTTCCCCGACGAACCGGTCTCAAATAAAGTAAAATACTTCTTTAAATATGAGCCCAATCTTGTTGTCAACAAGTAGGTTTACTTGTTACAACAGGTCGGTTTACTTGTTGCAACAGAAGGTTACGTGGCACAACCAGTTCGCTAGCTGCAAGCAAAGACAGTTCTTTATCTTCCTCATCACCTTTCAATCTAGTGAATCATTGCCCTAGCATCATGTTAGTGCAGTTGTTTTCAGTTTGCTTGCCAGACATTTTATCTTCGTAGTTTAACCGGCTCTGATTCCGTTCTGTACAGTTGATTTCGCCTAAATGTTTTCTCAATCTAGGTCCTACCGAAAGGATTATTCGTTAATTATGGCCGCCGGTGACTGAACACTTCGCCTTTTCGTGCTTCTTTTTTTTTTTTTTTTTTTTTTTGGAGTCTCTCCACTTGTGGCGACATCAATCCCTCCTAACATTTCATGTGTGGAGTATAACAGCTTCAGCTTCATTGCCTGGGGCCAGTTAGTGGTTGGTCCTCTCTCGCCATTTTTTTTTCTTCTTTTTTTTTTCCTCAACCAAATACAACTCCGCAGTCGTCGCCCGGTCCTATCGAGTTTGCTACCCATGTTGTCCTGCCTTCCAGTTGCTCACCATGCCCTTTGGCAATGCGCCAGTAAATCTCAGTCTGTGTCGCTCCAATCTTGCCTACCGAGTCATTTTATATCCAAAATCTGTTATATCTTCTGTATATCCTTCTGGATGGTAAAAACACATCAACCATCTTGTTGAGAAACTAGTGATATATGACATATGCATTTATCTTCTAAAGACGTTTAATATCCTTCATGTATGAATACTAGGTTGATGGAGCACCTGCACACTCATTGAAGTTGTCGCACACACGATTCATAAGCGCGCTCAATCTTACATTATGATTATTCACAGGAAGGATTAGATATTATCAATAAATTCATTGAAGTTTAATTTATTAATGTGATGGATCTGGTTCCCTGGATTGATCTGGAAGTGCTACGAAGGACGCACTATCCTCATTATCAGAGTAGCCATGGTCCATATATGTGTGACCTCTTTTTATTCCTTCTGACCGAGAAAACTAAAAATAAAATAAATAAAATCTAGCGTTCGCTCTGATCTACTCTCTATCTAGTAACGAGTGAAAAGAAAAGGGAGGTGTGGGAGGGACATATGTCCCATGGCTACTCTGATAATGAGGATAGTGCGTCCTTCGTAGCACTTCCAGATCATTATCCTCGTAGCCATGGTCCATATGTGACTTCAGAGCGAACCAAAAACCGATGTCGTCAAATTTGAATGGGTTTTGCGGGAAACACGGTAGTGTTTGTTGAAAACCTTGTCAGACGACCAATTCCCTTGAACCATGATATCTTGGGTTGATACGCCAGCGATGGCTGCCAAGGTTGATCCTATAGCGCGTGGCTTTGGAGGAGGCCGTTTCGACGGAAGATTTGGAATCCGACGTGTGATTTCATTCATAAAAGTGCCTATGGTACTGACCCTAAGGACTTTGGACTTGTCTTTCACAAAACGCATAAGAGGATTGAATTTATAATCCTGATCTTTGTGGTGCTCGATTTCGAGAGGTGTGTCCGCTATCCGTCTGGTGTATTCTGTATAGGCCTCGACTGGGCAAATTTTCTTGTCGTTAGGGTGTCTACCTACGAAGATCGACTTTATGATGCGCTGCCCATCGCGCCGTTCCTTAGGGAAGACTATGGTAAGGAGAAGACCCTTTTCATTGATCTCTGACTTTGACACATCAATGCAACCGATATCATCTGGCCGGAGAAACGCACAAACGCCTAAGAGCCAGCAGAGCTTGCGAGAGAGCTTAGGCATATCAAGATCCACATTGTCCTCCATGCGGAAGTATGAAAGGATGGGTGAAATGTCGAGTGCGGATACGTGCTCCATTTGAAATACGCCAGTACTTTTCATTGCTGCCATGAACCGCTGAAAGTAGATGTTGCCTGTGATCACGGATGTGTCGTCGTAAAGCTTTAAGATGGCTGATTTTTTGTTAAGAGTGGTATTCCTACTCCAAGAATAAATAATCCGCGCATGGCATAAATAGTTAACCACAGCAATTGCATTTGGCGTACTAGGGTCGAAGCCTTCTTGTTGAGCCCATACTGCGAAAGCTTCTTGAGTTGGAAGATATTGTCGACGTGTTTTGCTGTTGGCACCCGCTGAATCTAGTAGAGTGATAGCGGATGGTGAGAGTGCTGCATCTAGATCTTTACGTCGCCTCTTATTCTCCATGCTGTCAATGACCAGAGTGGATTCTTGCTGAGGAGATCGCTTGCGCTTCCGACGGCTGGTAGGACTGCTTCCCGAGGGATCGGGATTGGTGGTGCTACTGCCATCTCCTTGATGGTTGGGAACCATATTGCACTCGGCCACCATGGGGTTATTATTGCTGCTGTCAGTTTCTGGGTCTGTATCCTCTCCAAGATGATTGATAGAAGATTCCATGGGGGGCAAATGTAAAGGTTGCCCATCTCTGTCCAGTTGTGTTGAAGGGCGTCTATCTTCAGAGCATCTGGATGGAATTTCCATGAGACAAATGCCGGTAGCTGTTTGTTCTGTGCTGACGCAAATAGGTCCACCTGATGTGGGCCCCATTGGTGTTCCAGTTGTTGAAAGAATGGGCGACTGATCCTCCATTCCAATTGCGATATCATTCGCCGTGACGGTGCATCCGCTGGGTTGAATGCAGATGGGATGTATGTCGTCCGAAGTCGAGTCCCTGTTGCTAGGCAGTGACGCCATAACGTGTCCGCTAGTGTCATTAGTTCCGGAGACCTCGTCCCTCCGAACCTGTTGATGTGTGCAATCGTCGTCGTGTTGTCGCATATGATGTTGATCATTTTGCCCTGTGTTATTGGTAGTTGAACAGCTCGAAGAACTGTCTGTAGTTCCTTCCAGTTGATGTGGTGGTCTTTCTCTTGTGGAGTCCATTTGCCACTCCATGTTTGATTGTTGATCACGATCCCCCATCCGGTGTCCGATGCATCCGTGTATATGTCAATTTGTGTCTGTTGTTGAATCCATGACAGACCATTCCATGACGTCAGTTGCTCCTTCCACCATTGAAGGTTCTCCTTGGCTGGTTCCGTGAGGGTGACCGTGTCTGACCAAGAAGCTCCCTTGGCTTTTAGTGCTGTGTTCTTGAGGTGAAGCAGATTCCGTGTCATGAATCGCGCTGGGAACACTGCCATAGATGTTGCCATTGCTTTCCCGACGAACGAAGAAAGTTCCCTTAAAGAAGTGGCGCCTTTTCGTAGCAGCTTTCCTGCCTCGCGCCGTATGTCCCTGACTTTGGATTTCGGAACTGTGACAGTCATATCCCGGGAGTTGATGGTAAAGCCTAAATGGTCTATTTTCTGTGACGGGATCAACGTAGACTTGGCTTCCTTGATGAGGAATCCTAGCGCTGCCAACTTGTCTTGCACTAGTTGAGTGAACTGGATTGATTGTTCTTTGTTCTTGGCTAGGATTATTAAATCGTCTAGGTACGCTGATATGTGAATTCCTCGTCGTCGTGCCCATTTGAGGAAAGGCTTGAGAACTTTGGTGAACACTAGCGGAGAGAGTGAGAGCCCGAAGGGAAGTGTACGGAATTGAAATTTCCGGTTCTTCCATTGGAACTGTAGATAATGACGATAATCTGGATGGATTAGTACGTGAAGAAATGCGTCTGATAGGTCGATGCTTGTCATAAAGTCGTTCTTCTGTAACATTGCGCATACTGTCGTCATCGTCTCCATTTTGAAGTGCCGCTCTGAGACGTAGGCATTCAACGGTCTTAGATTTAAGACTGGTCGAATGTCCCCGGTTTTCTTGGGGATAGTGAATATTCGGCTCTTGAAACCAGGGCCCGAAGCGACCTCTATTGCTCTTTTGGCTAAGAGTGCGATTACCTCTTGATCGATCGCCTTCTCTTCCTCCGCTGCTACTCGAGCTTGGTACGCTGTTGAACTGGATATCGGTGGCCGTTTGTGGAAAGGGATTTTGAATCCCTCGGAGACGACCGACTTGACCCATTCGTTGTCGGTTATGAGAGCCCATGCTTCTCTGTAAATCTGTAAACGGTCACCTACTGCTGGCCTGCAGTCTGTGCCTGACTTGTCTGGTTGAATTGAGGGGTTTGGTAGCCTCGGCCTCGGCCTCGTCCCCCTCTCCTTGGATTTTGGCCTCGCCCAAAAAAAGAACCATTGTCATTTTGATAGTGGGCGGTCTGAGTTTGACCCGATGGATGAGATTGGCTAGAATTAGAAGTGGGTCTGTAAGTATTTGCGCTAAAGAAACTCCGGTTTTGAGTCCTCCTGTTGTATGCCCGTTGTCTTGTCGGGTTAGTAGCCTGACGAACACTCTTTGCCAATTTGCTGGCTTCAATGAAGTCTGAAGTAGAGACAATTGGTGGATCAACTGTGTGCTTGGTGACTGAAATTTTGTGCGCTTGGTAAACAAGGTCCTCTCTGTCGCTTGACATTTGCTGTGCCAGGTGTGCAATATGTTCACGCATTGTCTGTGCGAGCTGTAAACACGCTTGTGCGACCGCAGGGTCAACTTCGTAGGAAAACATTTCCGTGGCAAATTGATCAAGTGGTCTTGTAAGGTTTGCCAATCGTGATTGATAGCGTGAGATTGTTTTGTCCATGGAACTGTGGTGAGAGGAAGAGTCGGGCCAGTCAATGAGTGCCGATTTGGGTGCAGAATAGGTTTGGGTTGTGTTTTTGGCAAAAGGCTGCATCTCTTTAGCCATTTCTGTTGCATATGCAAGATCGTCTGCACGGTTTCCAGATTTATGTTTGAAAAAATCTTTCCCGTCCATTGCTGGGTAGTGGACGAGAATGGAGTCGTCAGGGGTAATTTCGTAAGCTGGTTCCTTTGGAACCAAGTAGGGGTTCGATCGACTGGATTCAGAGCTAGTCGAGAGAGCCTCAAGCCGGCTGGTGAGTGTAGCCAGCTGGCTCTGGAGAGAATGTATAATTGGATCAGAAGTGTCATACTCGCTCATTTGGAACTTCAATACGCTGGATGTGTTCCTGAGCGAGAAAAAAGAAGATAGAGAGTAGATCAGAGCGAACGCTAGATTTTATTTATTTTATTTTTAGTTTTCTCGGTCAGAAGGAATAAAAAGAGGTCACACATATATGGACCATGGCTACGAGGATAATTAAAATTTCCAAAAGCTCTGATCAAATCATAACAATTAGATCCTCATCCTAATCTTCATTCTATTCGGCATCCTCATCGTACTCTAAGCATTATTAAAATGTCATCCCACAATTCTCGCCGTATCTCATCTGGGTCATTCACCCGTGATCCACTCGACACCCCCGTGCCGTCGTTTCCCCATATCAATTGTGTGATAGTCCCTCTCCCCCATATCATTGTGAACTTCAACCAATCGAAATAATATGGGGCGTAGTAAAAAATATGGTTGCATACAACACAACGGGATTGATGACACCTCAAGTTCTCACTGCGATGCTCGAGAAACTCTTTGTGAACCTTCCCCTCAAGGTGTTCCTCTATGCATGGAATAGGACAATTAAATTTGGCCAACAGTACCAATCGGAGGCTTCTAATCAAATCGAAGCTGCTGAAGTGGATCCCATGGTACAACACCTGTCCGAAGAACCAGAGGTCTCTGTTGGTGATATAAACGTGACAGAGGAGGAGTATGATAGGCACCTGCAGCCATTCCTTTCCAGTACTTCCCGCACTCAATGCCGTGTCATCATTGAGCCAACTGACGATGGAGATGATGAAGGAGAGGCGGGAGAGGAGGCGAGCGTCAATGGGTATTTTTAATACGATATCCCTGCGGAGGCCACAATTACCAACTATTTTGACAAGCTGGGGCCTTTGCTCTCCACCGCAATACATCACAGAAGCTCTACTTCCCAGCAACGAATGTATCCAGTAGACGAAATGATGGTTCGATTCTTTGGTCAAAGCGCACATATTGTTCGTATGAAAAGCAAGCCAATTCCCGAGGTCTCAATGTGTGTCGGCCTAGCACAAGCACGCAATTTACCCTGGGAAATTTTTCGGTATAAAAAGCATTGGGATTCTCCTAAAACTCTCGCAGTACAAAACACATTCGCACACAACACTTGGGGGACACTTTGTTGTCAATAATAACCGTGTTACTTTGTCTAAGGACGTCCTCGCTACCCTTAACACTTCGTTTGACAATCTGTTAGTATCAGCCATAAAAGCTGACAAAGCAAATATCATACAACAGTGCCAAAGAGAGCTTGATGACACACTCCCGAAACAACTTGCAGATACCCTCTCCGCGGCTCTTGTAGCTGTCGAAAATAATTCACATATGAATAATTTGGGTAAAGATTTCACCTATAAGATGCTCCGTGCTACTGCCATTGAGTTTTCAGCTCAAGTTCAGATGCTACGAGCCACTGCAGAATTCCAACAGCCGAATCTTGGTTTAAAGGTATAAGACAATTGTTTCCCTTTGGTTTGCTCCTAGATTAAAACAAATCTATTCTAAGATCAACTCTACTTCCTTTCTAGAATACCAAGAAAGAAGCCTCGAAAAAGAAGCCCAGCAAGCCCAAGCCATCTCGTCGACAGAACGAATTGAACAAGTTCAAAGGACCAAAAGGCCCCTCGATGGCAAAGAAGGACAAGAAGAAAGGTGGTACCCCGTCGCCCTCCAAGAAACCACCCATGCAAAAGAAAGGAAAAGGCCCCGCGAGAAAAGCCCTTCCCCCACAGAAAAAACAGAAAAAGTAGATTTGCATGAATTTGTAGGAGTCAACAACATGTCTTCCATACAAACCATTCCTCAGGATATTCTTCACGTTCTAAATAAAGGAGTCAATTTCAATATACATAAACCACCTAATTATGTTGTTCTATCTTCAGAACTAAAGAAATTGCGAAATCAAATTTGTAGGAATGTCAATAGACTAGATATCAACCGAGCTAATGTTCTGTTCGATGCCTACAAACCTCAGTTAATTAAAAACTTAACAAAAATTAGAGAAAATAATCCTCATAAGAAACTCCTTACTAAAATCAACAAGACCATTAAATCTATGCTTACCCATAAACTTATCATCGGCCCTGCTGATAAAAACTTAGGACTCACTATCATGGACCTAGCCTGGTATACATCCCAGACTACGAAACTACTTACAGACACATCCTGTTATGTCCCGTGCCCTTCGTTTTCCATTGATCATATGATTAGTTCACTCTTTTCTATAGTCAATCTCAGTCCTCTCAGGATTAAAAATACTTTAACCTCAGAAGCTAAACTTATAAGAGATAATGTTAGAAATAATCCTAACTTCTATAGTGTCCCGGTTATGTATCTTTTACCCAAAATACACAAGTCACCTACTGGTGCTAGACCTATAGTCCCCTCTTTCCCTTGGATAGCACACACTATTAGTCAGTTTGTCGATAGAAACTTGCGTCCTCTATTACATGAGTTCCCTAGAGATCTTCCCGACACTCCCACACTAATACGATATCTAGAAAACCTTAACCTTGACCCTGAAAGCCAATACTCATTAGCGGTTTTCGATGTCATTAATATGTATGGCAATATCGACTTTAATGAAGCCAGAAAGACCATACTCCAATACTTCTGCAATCATCCTCATAACTATGAAATTCAAGTCTGCTTGAAACTTGCAGAATGGGTTAATAAGAACTGCCTTGTCTCTGACCTCAACAACACCTACAGACAAGTCAAAGGCTTAGCTATGGGAACCCCCATGGCACCCACCATAGCTCGCCTCTTTGCATGCTGGGTTGAGAAAAAACAAAAGTTCCATGGAGTCTTTCCCGCCAACCTGCCCGTTGACGATAATTCTCCTCTTTCTCAATATAAACTCGATTTCTTTGACATCACCCTGTTCCGATATATTGATGATGGCTTGGCCATTATTCGTACATCCAAACACGACCTCCTCCCCTGGTCTACCGAGACGTTTACTCTTCTGAAACCCTATATTGACATACAACTTCATAAGATATATGCCTCAAGTCAAAGTCTTAATATAACCACCGACCATGGTAAAATTGGTCAACAAGTGGTCATGCTAGATCTTCTTATTTCCGTCGATAACAATATAAGTCCGTCTCGACTTATCATTGCCCCCTTCGATAAATCCGTTAATAAACACCTCTATACCGACCCAGATGCATACTATCCTAGGGAATATGTATTTAACTGGATCAATGGTGAAATCAAAGACTTATTAGAAATTCTAGTCAGTCTTCTTTCCACACCCATGCCAATGGCACCTGCTTCTTCTTACAACAAATTTACAATGGAACAGGTGAAGGAAGTAATGGAAAATTTTCTCGGGAGGTCCGAGAATAAAAGCCCCATTGCTTTTTTGGATTGGGGCCGTCGCCTGTACAGAGTAACTTTCCGTCAGAAGGCGGGTTTCTACAGTCTGTACAAGGCATACAGAAAAAAAACAATGAAGAGATTGAAACGTTTCTTCAAAACAAAGAGATTCGGCAGCAAGTCGATATCTATTTGTCCAACTGGCGTCAAAATGTATTGGATACTCTAATCTGTGTTAATTGGTTATTGGTTATTGGTTGGTGGTTGGATCTATATACTTACACGGAATTAAACCGACTTTAGGAGCCACGGATGAACAAACAGCACCACCATCACCAGCCGGTTAAAGCGGCCCAGTCGAGTGAAGTCAGTAAGAGCTTCGTACTCGATGGCACGAATGTTTCGGAGATCTTGATGCAGATCAGGAAGACGGTATTCGATACCCCCAACGAGCAGAAATTGGGTTACTCCGAATTCTTGTATGTATTTCGTTTTTGCTACAGTCTTCAGTTTCAACCTTTGCCTTTGTTAACCGTGGTGATTTTAATAGGGCCGCCAGTTTCATCTTCTGCAAGGAGTTGGTGTCGTCCAGCCTTCCGCCTCAGGTGACCGAGGCTCTATATTATATTCCAATAAAGGAGCAGATGACAGAAGGCGATGTGCGCTTCATACGAGATTCTGCTTCGAAAGCGAAGAAACAGGATTATGAAGTGTATCTTGACAATTTTTCTGAAGAGAAGGAAGGGATAAAGCGGTGCCTGTTCAAGGTACTCCAAAAGTGGGCTGAGCAACCCAATTTTTGGACGGGTATACAGGAATTGGGAAACGAGGCTACATATACCAACAGTGTCATCGTTCCTATGATTGATGGTATATTGTCTGGTTTTTTGTTCAATAGACTAGAGTAAGTAAGCCTTCATTCTTTGATGCAGAAAAGTAATGTTTTTATTTATTGTTATTATTAAAAAGTCGCGTTTTTTTTTTTTTTTTTTTTTTTTTTTTTTGTGCAGTGATAAAAAGCTCGTCCTTCCCAAATACTGCCAAAACGAGCTCAGACCTGATGTCGCCTGGTCTAAAGGAGGGATACCATTCATGATAGCGGAGGTCAAATGCCTCCATCTTGATAACGGATACCTTTGCAGTCGATGTCGGTACTTTGAAAGAGGAATCCATTGCAGTTAAAACTTTCTCAGCTTGCTCATCATACTGTAACAATGTAGGTGACTGAGGGATTTCAGATCGCTCCATGAAGCACGAATGTGTGAGTGATTGTGTGCGCGCGAGAAAGGCGAGAGGTACCGCCAAGGGATACTCACGAAATACGCCACCAATTCTTTCTATATCAACGGTCTCTTTGGTGACCTATTTATTTGGCCAAACGTTTATAATTGACTGAATGAAAAAAAAAAAAAAAAAAAAAAAAAAAAAACTTCAGGGCTAAAGCTTACTTGTTTAGACAGGGTGTATGCTGTACAACATGATGGAAAGGTATATACTTTTTATTACGTTTATAAATATCACAAATAAAAATAAATAACAAAATAAATGGCAATATGTAAAAAAAACTAAGGGGGGATATATGTTATTTGACAAAAAAGCAAATGCATGCATTCGTTTTTTTTTTTTTTTTTTTTTTTTTTTTTCTGGTGTTTTTTTTTTTTTTGGTTGTTGTTATTGTTGGTTTTTTTTTTTTTTTTTTTTTTTTTTTTTTTTTTTTTTAATTAGTTTGTCTCGCTGGTGGACCGACGGAAACCAAGGCTAAACATGCTAGTGCTACGTGTGGATTGGCTCCGCTTAAGCTTGTGGGCAGGGTCACCCTCCGCCGCAACCATGAACTTACGGGTGCCAAATCCATTACTGTTCGTTGGAGTTGTTGGGACAACTCCTGCACTAGCTGCCTTCTCACTTGGCCAACCTTTACGGACCAAAGCCGCTGGTCGTGGTGATGACAGGGACTCACGTCCAGAATGAGTAGAATCAAGTGTATCAGAGCTCTCACGACGGGTCAGCGTCCTTGGTGAGCTGCTTCCATCTCTTTGAGAATCACCAGAGACACGGAAATATCCTTCCCTATCTCCCAAACCTGGTGACTTTGGAATAGTCTCATAAAAGCTCATGGCTCGGGGCGAGGAAGAGCCACTTCGAGGGTTCATCATCGAGTACATCGCGGCCTCGTTCAATGATTTACGGACACTGCGATTACGGCTCAGACCCGGGTTCGCTGCTGCGAACGCAGCGCTCATCTCCAGTTCCTTGATCTTCTCTTGAAGAGATTGACGTTCAACTTGGCCCTCCAACCAGAGCTTCTTGGTCTCCTCAAACTGTTGACGCATCACATTCATATCCCTCTCAAACGTATCGCGCTCATGACGGACATTGTCGAGCTCCATAGCCATGGCCATCTTAGAGTCCTGCAAGACAATCTGTTGGTCTTGAAGCATCACCACTGCCTCCCTTGAATCCATCAAGATCTTCTCGATCGATTGAGTCTTCAGTCGCTGGGCCTCGACCTCGTTCATGGCCTCCATCACCAAAACCTTGGAGTGAACAAGCTCCGAAGTAACATGGGCCAACTCACGCTCTGCAGCCTTCAGGCGCTTAGTGAGGTCAGCATTTTGGGCTTGGACACTAACATCGGCAACAGCGATCGCATTAAGAGAGGCAACCGATGAAGCTTTGGTCTCAGTCTCGTCTTCGTTCTCATCCTCGTGTGAGTGTGTTGACCAACTCGAGCTAGCACGACGTTCCTTGTCATCTTCATTATCAGACTCATGGACGGTAGTTCGGGGCGAAGATGTCATCATGGTAGAGGCTGTATCACTCTGGCTCATGATCGAAGGCGAGATCGCACTCATCATGGATGCTCGGTTCTGTTGTCGTTCCAGTTGTATCAGCTGTCGACGCAGGTTTTCAATCTCTTCCAAGTACTGCATCTTCTCCATCTTGGCCGTCACTACTGCTTCAGTCACCTCCGCATGGTCCCTCTGCAGCGTTGATAAGGCCTTGGCCAAATCTTGGATTTGTTCATGAAGCATTGCTTCCTTTGGACTGTTGTTACCGCTATTTCCACCATTACCGGACCGTGCGTTTGAGCCTCCAGTCGAGTCGTCATCGTCGAATGTCAAGCTGACAGAGGATCCAAACGAGGCTGCGATCGAGAGACGGCTAGCACCACGCTTGGCCTTTTGGGTAGGAGAAGGGGGCGAAGGAGATGGAGATGGGGACTTCTTGGGTGCAGCAGCAGCAGCAGCAGCAGCCACTGCCGCAGCAGCCTTTGAGGCACCAAATCGATCTCTAAACCTTTTACTGGTCACTTCGCCTGCACGCTTCTGCTGATCCTCTAATTCAGCCAAGTAGGCCATAGCCAAAGCATCGAGCTTATCCTTCGAGATCTCGGACGAGAGAGCCATCGCATCCTTGATAACACTGCCTGCATTATCTTCGTAGACATCATACAGCTTCGTCGAAAGCACCTCCAACAGATCTTCAAACTCTTGAAGTTGCATCAACCTTTCCTCATTCTTCTTCAAGAATGCCACTGCCACTCTCATGATCGTCTCTGGTGCGCCCTCCGAGAAGACAACGTCATAGATCCGAAGCACTAACTGTAATGGGTATGTGTACGCAAACAGGGACAAGAACCACTGGGATGCATACATGGCTGCATGGATCGAATGGAATGACAGGTGGGCATGCAACATTGGTAGATGTTCTGACAACAAGGCCGAGAATTGATAGAGACGCAATTGAAGACCCTCCATGTTCAATGTAAACATGGTGCGCATGTCATATGTCTCCATCAGACGTACAAACACACAGAAAGCCTCTTTTTCGTCCATCTATTTAAAAAATAAAGAAGCAAAGACGTAAGCATCGCCACTTGAGTTGTATTAACTAGATTTTTTTTTTTAAAAAAAAAAAAAAAAAAAAAAATATATGTAAAATCTCCTTACGTTCATAAGCAAAGGTCCGACGAGGAATCCAAGTCCTTGACAGTAACCAACGTGTGGATCATAGAGTGAATAGGCTTTGAGGATATTGCCGAGCATCTCCTGTCCTTTGCCCCCCTCCTCCTTGAACATATCAATCTGTGGGAATGTTCTTGCAAGATCGCGCTGGATGATGCGCTCGTAGGGCGAATGCTCCTTCAGGAGCTGGGTATACATTGTCTCGAGGTACGTTGATGAGGCCTGAGACATGGATTGCCAGATCAATCCACGGAGTTTGGATGGTAAGCCCTGACGCACGCGAGCTGCCAAAAGATGTGGCAACTTGCTGGCCACTGCATTATAGTCTTGAACAAGCATTCCCCAGAACTCCCAATCGATCTCTTCATCACCCTCTTGATGCTCCATTATCTTGGAGCCTGATGACATTGGGTCAACCGTCTCTGAATTAGGGCTGTTGAGTGTGGCCGTTGAGTCTGCAATCAGCTTGTGAAGAGTGTTGAGATTGCCCTTGAGCACATTGGACTCGATACAAACCGACTTTGGGTCTGTATCTAATAGTCCATTTTGACGTTCTAGGCGAGCCAACAAAAAGGAGGTCGAGTCCTGTGGATCCAAAAAAGCATAAGCAGAAAAAATATTGCGTTATTAATAGGGCATTAGGGCAAAAGAAAAAAAAGAAAAGAAAAACTTCTTGGTTCTTTTTGTCTGTGTGTCTGTTGTGTTTATGCTGATTGGGCGTTGATGGTTGTGTTTATGTGTGTGGTGCGCGTGTGGCAATGCTATTTTTACGATTTTTTTTTTATGTGTTTACCTGTGGTGGCAGGAGACTATTCTGTTCTTCCAACTTTTGAAGCAAATCCTGATCCACAGTCGTTCCGGATGGTAGAGGATCCAAACGACCGGCCTTCAACTTTGAGAAATGGCCCTTGGGTTGGGGAAGAAGGAAACCCAATGTTGTATTGCTATTCAAACGAGCCCTGCTGACCGCAGCAGAGGGTGAGGTGAGGAAAGAAGAAGTGGAAGTAACACCACCGATTCTGCTGTGGCTGTGAAGACCGGTCTCAAGACCATGGGACAGCGTCTCGGACGAGGCATTATCTAGAATATCGTCAAGCATTCTCTTGAATGATGCTACGTGATCCTCTTCTTCAGTCGCTCCTGCTGCTGCTGTGCCTGATGGATTTGAGAGAGATAAAAAAGTAAAAAAAAAAAAAAAAAAAAAAGTATGAGAAAGGAAGCGCATTTACATGGGTAGGATGTACCTAGGTATGCGTCGTTGTAAACAACTCATCTTCCACCCCCTGCCTAACCGCCCTATCGCAACCCCTCTTTCACTCCTTGCCAGTACATTCATTGCTCCGCTCCCTAACCCTTCCCAATTGTGCCCTGCATTTCTTTTTCTTTTTTTCCAAAATGGAATGGGTAACAGGAGGGAGAGCAGCGGGATGAATGAGAAGCTGACTGAATTAGGACATATTATGAGAGTGCATCAATTGGGAAGGAGGCACATACGATTTGAGCAAACTTAAATGGAGTTAAGAGATGTGTTTCAGCTTTTGGGGAAGAAGAAATTGGAGGGGATTGGACGAATCTGAATGGTCTCAGGAACGGTACCAAAGCAATAGATAAAAATAGTAAACTAATCAATCGCTAAAACGCTTTGACTTTAAAGACTAAGCTTTGAGAAATAAAGAAAAGAGATTGATACGATAAGGATAAAGAAAAGAAAAAAAAGACAAGGAAACGGGAAGGGGAGGAGAATTAACGACGATTTGAAATAATGAAATTTATCTGTTCGATGTGTCCAATGTGTTACAAGAAACAACAAGGTGAGCAGATGAGGAAGGATGAGGACTGAGGAATGGCTGATTCCATCTTGTCTTTGACCCTTTGTCCATATTCGTCTAGCTTTCTCTTGTGGCGAATGCATTTTTTTTTTTTTTTTTTTGGACTGGGTCACCTTACTTATTAACCTATTCTGTTGTCCTAATTATTATCCTTTTTTCCTGCACACATGCACACGTAAATAAACAAATAACGAATAAGGAGGTTGTGTGCTAGGGTTGGGGGCTGTGGAAGCTTAACAGTAGAAGCAAAATAATAGGGTCAAAAAGTCAGCCCCATGGATGAATGTGAGCTTTTTTTTTTTTTTTTTTTTTTTTTTTTTGCCTGCTTACTTGCTTACTTGCTTACTCCATGAAGTTAAAAAAAAAAAACAGTAACCTTGTAACTTCTATCCTTCCAGACCCCGCTCTTTTTTCTTTCTTTTTTATGTGAGCATGTCATGCAGGCTTTTGTGACTCGTCAAGCTCTTAAAACAGGGCCCTTGTATAAAAGGAATAGGGAATGGACATGGGCATGGGCATGGAAATGAGTGAAATGAATCCCTAATCCAGTACGTTGGATTCTTCCGTACCCCTTTCTCAACCTCTTTTTGGTAACACATAATGATAGAAGCAATTGAACACAAACAAAGTGGAACATTCCCCTTCGAATATTTAAAGGAACAAATCATAGAAGAATGAACGTGTATATATTATAAAAAAAAAAAAAAAAAAAAAAAAAAAGCAATACGCGATTCACAAAGTAAAAAAAGACTTACGGAGAGAGGTTGAAGCTGTAGGCTTAGAAGGGGAAGAGGTACAAGAGACAACGGGCGAGGGAAGGAAAGCTGTATCGACAGTTTGTGTAGCCATTTTGTTGAGATATTTCGCCCACTAATAAAAAATATATATATATGTAAAAGAAGTAATAAAGAAAAGAATAAAAAAAGAATAGAAATGAAGATATGGCGTTATGATAGGATGATGGAATGAATAATACAATTTTATCTTCGTTATTGCTTTTTTTTTTTTTTCTTTAAAAAAAAGGGGTGATAGAAAAGAGGAAGAGGAGGTAGGGGAGGAGGGGAAGGAGAAAAGTTCTGAGAAATGAGAAGTGAGGAATGAGATGAGACGAGATGAGGAAGAAGAAAAAAAAAAAAAAAAAAAAAAAAAAAAAAGAAAAAGAGAAGGGGGGGAAGGGAAATTGTAGTGTTGTATAATATAGTGGATTGGTGGATTAGTGGATACAAGTTGGGACAATGAATCCAAAGGCATGGAAGGGCATGGGCATGGGCATGAATATGCATGAGTAACAAGCGACTCAGCTTTCTCGTCCAACAGTAAAGAGAGAATGTCCGTGTGTGTAACGTGTACGTGATTTAAAACATGGTCTTTGCCTCCTCCTTTTTTTCTCCTTTTCGTTTGGGTTGCAAATTAGTCCCAATGGTCAATCGAACTGGGAACTCTATGAACAGAGGCAGTTGGGAATATTGAATTTGTATTTCATTCACAGGATAGGACAAAAAAAAACTTTTGTATATTTTATAGAATGGGAAAGGGAACACAGGGGCGGGACGAACGGTTGAGGGCAAACCTTGGTTGTCCCCTTTTCCTTTCTTTGTGTATCTGCAGCAAGAATTGGAAGCGGAGAAAATAAAGAAAAAATAACAACACACAACACATGCACATAACGGCCCAGCGGGAAAAGGAAGGAGAGGAAAATAAAGAAAACTATATCTTTACTGTGTACAATTGACTGGGTCAGATCTTTAATGTGTACCCCTCCCTTCCACGCTTCATGTACAACAGTACACGAAACAGACAGCCTAAAAAAACTGACGATAACTTTAAAAGATAAAAAAAAAAAACAATGAAGCATGCAAAGCATGCAATCTAAATGGACATGGCATGGAGAAGTGAAAATCATTCCAGTGGATGATTGATGTTTGAGAATGGACGATAAACGAATAGACAAGTACAAAAATATACATGCAATATTTAGATGCTAAAAACGGTGAATCCCATCTACAATAAATCTGCATTCCTTTGTTATTGTTTTGACATGCATTCCCCTTTCCTTTCTTCAACGAATCGGGTTCATTCTATTCCAGCCAACCTCCGACGCAGGAACTTGCGCTGTACACAGTACATGGACAAAGCCATAGTCAGGAGGTCATGTATTCTCATAGTTGTAAGCGGTATACATACAACATCGAAGACAGGGCCTCTTTAGTACATGTAATGCCTGAAAGGATGGTCCTTTTTATATTTTTTATTTTTTTTTAGGGATTCAAACAAGACTGCCGAAACTCAAAATTGACATCCACCGTTTGTTCACATACTTTCTCTTTTATATTATATACATTCATAGAGAAAGATAGGACTTCCTGTTTTGTTGTTGTATTTTTTTTTTTATGAAAATTAATAAAAAAGGTACGTATCCACATTACACTGTAGTTTTCATATCTCCTTGAAGGTAATAAAAAAAACCCTTTCAGGGCAAAAAGAGCTTCTGCAATGTGGTATGTGCCAATGCTGCATGGAGACGACAGGGTTTAGTACTCTATATGCGTGTGGAGAAAGAGGAGCCATGTCAAATAGAATATCAACGCGCTGGATCGCCAAAAGAGAAAGAAAAAAGCAAAGTTAGTACCCTTGGAGCAGTGAGCAGCAAGAAAGTAAAAAGTCTTTGTTTACATGTGTAGTGATCAAAGTTTTTACTAGAGGTCTTCTTTTGTCGTACAAGCCCCTATGTATGACAATGCTGTTCGTCAATGGCTACATGGCATGAACAACTTCAAGCTGTAGCAGACCATGTGATTCAAGATTATAGAAGCCCTGCCTTTGCCTCCTAAAAAAAGCTTATCCTCTTGGTTTTTTTACTTTTTCTGCTCACAAAATTTGCCTAGGTGCACTAGCGTTGTTGCTGCGGTCACGTTAAATGTATGTTATATTATTTGTATAACATACACACACCCTTCACTAAGGACGAGATGTTGAGTATTTGTCAAGTTTTTCTATAAATCTAAAACTATGATTGGCTAAGAGCACATTTCAATAGCTCTACCCTATTATCTTTCACCATCATCGACACACGTACGTGAAGAATCTCTTGACATTCTCAATTGACACATTTGTCTAAAAAGGAAATTCTAGCCACCCCATTTGACCCACAAGTCAAATCAACTACACCATGGAAGACCAGCTATGCAATCAAACAAAACGAGTGGTCACCTCATTCTGTCTTTAAATGTAGGTGAGATATCCTCCATCATGCTACTAAGCTAATATATAGAGATGAAATCCAAAGTCGCCCCCAGTTAAATATTTTAGCCGTGATACATCTCAAAAATAAAGAACCGTGTTATTAAATTTCTATGACAAGCCTTTTTATAGGATTAAGAACTGTGACGAAAATTCTAAGTTGGGATATTTCTAAAAAGTTTCTCTTTGAGCTCGTTGAAGCTGACATGAAGAAGATCTTTGTACTTGCTGATTAATCCAGTGTGGTTTGGTGCACCAGGGGAACCACGCATGTAAACTATTTTAAATCCAGTTACTGGCTCTCCATCCTTTTTGACAACAAAATGTCCATCGTCAATTAAGGCGGAATGATTACCTCCAAATACTTCGTCCAAATATTTTTCAATCTGATTTTTGCCGTCGGGATCTCTCTTATCAAAAGCGTTCTGGATCTGCTTAGTTTCTGTCTTCTCGTGTTCGCAGAAATCACTTATGGACACCTGGATAAACATTGCGTCGAGTATGAAATCAAAGCGAGGATAACTCGAATGACAATGGCTCAGTACATGTCCATAGCCACGTCCAAGAGAAGTCATGTTTTGATGGATTGTCCCATGATCCTTAAAGTTCATTATAATCTCCGTTGGATTCTTGCCGACAAGGTTTGTTGCTCTGAGAACGATTGGCTTGGTTAAAGTCAAAAACTGGACCAACAGTGTCAACTTGAAATCATCACCTACCTCTCCAAGACTAACTTGCCTCAGAATATGCTCATGATGAGGTATGTTTGTAAACGCCTGAAAGAGTGCTTGCGAACTCCTTCTTCGATTCATCGCTGAGAGCTTCGTAGTAATCCCAAACTACAGGGCGAAGCTCGCTTGTTCTCTGAGCTACATACCCATCAATGCTATCTCTTGTGAGTGGTCTGTCCTTAATTGATCGAATGAGGCGCATAAACTCTCGCGGCACACGGTTTGTAATCCTCATTACATCCTGGACAATATCGGGTTGGTTCAGGTGGACCTCCAACCATTTTGAAAACACTGTCTCG